TGAAATTTTAAAATAAGGTTCAATACCACAAAAGGAAAGTGGGGATTGATTTTGGGGGTTATGGTACCAACAGTTAAGGAATTAGGGGCCAAAAATAAGCATTTTTGTAACTTCCAGACATAACTTGTGTGTAAGTGTATGGATCTCACAAGGTTCCATATCACAAAGGGAATGCTGGGATTGATTTTTGGGGGTAATTGCCTCCAAATTTTAGGAATTAGGGGCCAAAAAGGGGCAAAAAACAAGCATTTTTCTAGTTTCATGACAATAACTTGTGTGCAAGTCTATGGATCTCTCTGACATTGTATCACAAGGTTCCATATCACAAAGGGAATGCTGGGATTGAATTTGGGGGTAATTGCCTCCAAATTTTAGGAATTAGGGGCCAAAAAGGGGCAAAAAACAAGCATTTTTCTAGTTTCATGGCAATAACTTGTGTGTAAGTGTATGGATCTTTATGAAATTGTACTACAAGGTTCCATATCACAAAGGGAAAGCTGGAATAGGGTTTGGGGGTAATTGCCCAAAAGGTTTAGGAATAAGGGGCCAAAAATAAGCATTTTTCTAGTTTCCAGACAATAACTTGTGTTCAAGTGTATGGATCTCTCTGAAATTGTACTGCAAGGTACTATACCACAAAGGGAATGCTGGGATTGATTTTGGGGGTAATTGCCTCCAAATTTTAGGAATTAAAGGCCAAAAAGAGGCAAAAAACAAGCATTTTTCTAGTTTCATGACAATAACTTGTGTGTAAGTCTATGGATCTCTCTGACATTGTATCACATGGTTCCATATCACAAAGGGAATGCTGGGATTGATTTTGGGGGTAATTGCTTCCAAATTGTAGGAATTAGGGGCCAAAAAGGGGCAAAAAACAAGCATTTTTCTAGTTTCATGGCAAAAACTTGTGTGTAAGTGTATGGATCTTTATGAAATTGTACTACAAGGTTCCATATCACAAAGGGAAAGCTGGGTTTGAGTTTGGGGGTAATTGCCCTAAACGTTTAGGAATTTGGGACCAAAAAGGGGCCAAAAAACAAGCATTTTTCTAGTTTCCAGACAATAACATGTGTTCAAGTGTATGGATCTCTCTGAAATTGTACTGCAAGGTACCATACCACAAAGGGAAGGCTGGGATTGAGTTTTGGGGTGATGAATCATAAGGGGGTTCAAAAAATTTGGGGGGGGGATTCTTTTTCCTTTTTTTTCTTTAAAATTTATCATTTTAAATTGGTTATTTCTGATTTATATATAAAAGCAAATAATAATGATATGGTTTGAATAGGTAAATTAAATTTTTTTAAGTATCTTAGACCACTTTCATTCTGTGTCAGAAACCTATGCTGTGTCAAATATTTTATTACAATCCAAATTCAGTGCTGAATCAAGCTTGAATGTTGTGTTCATACTTGCCCCAACTGTTCAAGGTTCGACCTCTGCGGTCGTATCAAGCTGCGCCCCAGCGGAGCATTTTATTTCATTCATAAATTACTTTATGCTTGGAAATATAATTTTGCTTGGAGTTGAAAGAGTTGACATGTTGCAATGTACATTTACTCTACATAGTTCTATGGTACTAAATCAAAAGTTTATATAAAGAAAGAAGTCAAAGGTTTCCCATCATAGTTTAGTTAGATACATTTTTTTTTGTACCTGAGGTCGTTGAATATAGATCATTATATAAATAAGGAGATGTGTTATGATTGCCAATGAAAAAACTAAGGATTTTCTTATCCAAGGAATAGATTTCCTTAGCCGTATTTGGCACAACTTTTTGGAATTTTGGGTCCTCAATGCTCTTCAACTTTGTACTTGTTTGGCTTTGTTACTATTTTGATCTGAACGTCACTGATGAGTCTTATGTAGACGAAACACACGTCTGGCGTATTAAATTATAATCCTGGTACCTTTGATAACTAATTTGACTATAAACATAGATAAAAAAAGGTACAAACTGGACATAATGCACTAGTTCATAAACAAGTGAGAACAATCGCCTTCATATAGTGCTCAGAATATGACATTCACAAAACTTATTCAATATCATTAGAGAACTCTAAATCTTAAATACTGAAAGCCACCTCTGATAAGTACACTGTACTATGCAAGATAATGATATAACTGGACTTAAAATACACACAACCTGTAATTAACTGCCTTTACAGCGCTTTCGTGCTTTGATTGATTTTTGGGCCCCGTTATCAACTTTGTCCACATTGAGGTCAAAAGGGTCCAAAATTAAACTTAGTTTGATTTTAACAAAAATTGAATTCTTGGGGTTCTTTGATATGCTGAATCTAAACATGTGTTTAGATTTTTGATAATGGGCCCAGTTTTCAAGTTGGTCCAAGTTGGGGTCCAAAATTAAACTTTGTTTGATTTCAACAAAAATTGAATATATGGGGTTCTTTGATATGCTGAATCTAACCATGTATTTAGATTTTTTATTTGTGGACCCCGCTGTCAAATTGGTTCATATTGAGGTCAAAAGGGTCCAAAATTAAACTTTGTTTGATTTCAACAAAAATTGAATATATGGGGTTCTTTGATATGCTGAATCTAACCATGTATTTAGATTTTTGATTTTTGGGCCCCGTTATCAACTTTGTCCACATTGAGGTCAAAAGGGTCCAAAATTAAACTTAGTTTGATTTTAACAAAAATTGAATTCTTCGGGTTCTTTGATATGCTGAATCTAAACATGTGTTTAGATTTTTGATAATGGGCCCAGTTTTCAAGTTGGTCCAAATTGGGGTCCAAAATTAAACTTTGTTTGATTTCAACAAAAATTGAATATATGGGGTTCTTTGATATGCTGAATCTAACCATGTATTTAGATTTTTTATTTGTGGCCCAGTTTTCAAGTTGGTCCAAATTGGGGTCCAAAATTAAACTTTGTTTGATTTCAACAAAAATTGAATATATGGGGTTCTTTGATATGCTGAATCTAACCATGTATTTAGATTTTTTATTTGTGGCCCAGTTTTCAAGTTGGTCCAAATTGGGGTCCAAAATTAAACTTTGTTTGATTTCAACAAAAATTGAATATATGGGGTTCTTTGATATGCTGAATTTAACCATGTATTTAGATTTTTGATTTTTGGGCCCCGTTATCAACTTTGTCCACATTGAGGTCAAAAGGGTCCAAAATTAAACTTAGTTTGATTTTAACAAAAATTGAATTCTTGGGGTTCTTTGATATGCTGAATCTAAACATGTATTTAGATTTTAGATTTTTGGCCCAGTTTTCAAGTTGGTCCAAATTGGGGTCCAAAATTAAACTTTGTTTGATTTCAACAAAAATTGAATATATGGGGTTCTTTGATATGCTGAATCTTACCATGTATTTAGATTTTTTATTTGTGGGCCTGCTATCAAATTGGTTCATATTGAGTTCAAAAGGGTCCAAAATTAAACTTTGTTTGATTTCATCAAAAATTGAAATATTGGGGTTCTTTGATATGCCAAATCTAACCGTGATTTTAGATTTTTAATTTTGGGTCCCATTTTTAAATTGGTCTACATTAAGGTCCAAAGGGTCCAAAATTAAACTTAGTTTGATTTTAACAAAAATTGAATTCTTGGGGTACTTTGATATGCTGAATCTAAACATGTGTTTTGATTTTTGATTATGGGACCAGTTTTCAAGTTTGTCCAAGTTGCGGTCCAAAATTAAACTTAGTTTGATTTCAACAAAAATTGAATTCTTGGGGTACTTTGATATGCTGAATCTAAACATGTATTTTGATTTTGGACATTAGACCATAATAGGTAAATTAAAAAAATTGAAGTTCTTAGACCACATTCTTTCTGTGTCAGAAGCCTATGCTGTGTCAAATATTTAATCACAATCCAAATTCAGAGCTGTATCAAGCTTGAATGTTGTGTCCATACTTGCCCCAACTGTTCAGGGTTCGACCTCTGCGGTCGTATCAAGCTGCGCCCAGCGAAGCATTTTATTAAAATTGAAGTTATCTTCCTTTGTCCATGATTATAGTTGAATCAACTACAATCAATGCTTTATACAATGCAATGTTTAATTTTGACTTCCACTGATGAAACACAGATCAAGTTGAATTTGGGTAGTGTCACTTTAACCATTATTGAGTTATGCCCCTTTATAAATCGAAAGATTGCAAAATTTTTAGTTTCCATTCTGTAACTTAAGTTTGCCCCAACCAAACATTATGAAACCTATACACTATATTCATTACCACAAAACTAAGATCAAGTACAAATTTTTTGTTTCCGTTTTCTAACTTGAGTTTGCCTCAACCAAATGTTATGAAAATTATACACAATGCTTATTACTACATAATACAGATTAAGTACGAAATTTGGTGGCAACACTTTTACCATTCTTGAGTTATGTCCGTTTAAAAACATAAAATTGCTGAATTTTTCGTTTCCGTTCTCTAACTTTAGTTTGTCTCAACCAAATGTTATAAAACTTATACACAGCCATTCTAGAGTTATGCATGTTTACAAATAGAAAAATTGCTGAATTTTTAGTTTCTGTTCTCTACTTAAGTTAGCCTCAACCAAATGTTATGAGACTTACACACAATGCTTATTACCACGAAACTCAGATCAAGTTCAAATTTGGGTAGCGTCACTTTTACCGTTCTTCAGTTATGTCCCTTTATAACTATATGATATGCAAGTGGGGGCATCATCTGTGTCCACAAGTGGACACTATCCACATTTTTTTTTTAAGTAACTAGATCTTCAACGATGAGTAAATCACTGATATCCAAAAACAAGTTTTTGCTTTTTGTGTGTTTTTTGCTGTGCATGTACAGATTTTGTGTCATGGAAGGATACCCCATATCTATTGTTTTTCTATTAAGAAAGCAGCTAGCATTTAGTGTAAACATTATTTGTATTTCCTACATGTACTTTTTTGAATGGGCAGTTTTTTTTGTTTGGCCATTTTCATTAGTTTATCTGCTGTCACAAATTACCTCACATTTACATGTACAATGCATATATTCTTGTAGACGACAGAGACACTGCAGCATTTGAACATCAGGACCATGATTTAGCAGGTTGGATGTCATCTAGATGTAATATTGGTAACTATCTTTTTGTATTAATCAATTATTCTGGTAAACATTCCTGAAAACCAGTTTTTAAGTAGGAGTCTAGATTAGCCCAAACTAGTATTCCCTCTTTTTCATTTCTGGAAGATTTGTGTCTATACATAGGGGTTATTGGTGTGTAAACTCACTGTAAACTGAATAAAATTTCACCTTTCACAGAGCTCTAGCATTCAAGTCATGTGTACCACACACAAATTTATCACAGTAAAATTGACAGTCTTTACATAGGTAGTGAAAGAAGTTCCAGCAACAGTGTCTATCAAGTATAAATAAAAAAATAAATAATTGACAGACCAGTCACAATCAAGTATTTGTAGATATGCAAATCATATTACTATTTTATTTATTTACATAACAGGTATTATTGGATATTTGACAATTTAAATTAAATCAAAGATTTTATTGATTTGCAACTAACACATAAGACATCTCTTTCTGTGTCCATTTATAAAAAAAAAATACTTTCCAGATGAACTTTTTTGGTCATGTCTCATTTGCATATTCTTTTTTTCTACATGTTCATTGGTCAGTATCCAAACAGAGGCTTGATTCTGTTCTTCTAGCTCTGTCACACTAATGTCAGATATTTTGCATTTTTATAAGGCTCACATACCTGTCAAACATCTTTGCTTAGTTACAATAGTCTGGTATGTGAAAAGGATCACCTTCCAGCCTAGCAGAGATACCGGTATGTTCTACATTGTATTATTTTACTTATGTACATTTTCTATTACAGAAGCTGGAGATGTAAGTGATGATGAACCTGGATCTTCTTATGACAGATATTACCACATGGTAAAACAAGAGGTAGACCATATGGAATGAGGATATGGGATAATTAGACTGGATATACAGATATTACCTCATCATTGAACAACAGATGTTAAAAGAACAAGCTTAAATACCATATCTGTTTACTTACCATCTGTTACTGTGCTAACCCATATACTTTCATTTTGATAACATTATTATGAAAACTAATTGTTATCCTTGTGAAAAATAGTACTGATAATGAGATATTTAAAACAATGCAATGCAATTTATATAATGAAAAATCCATTGAAATGTTTAGAGGAGTATAAACCTGATATAAATATCATTATATGGATATTAAAGTAAAGAAGTTTGTGTTCAGTATTGTGCAATTATAAATTTCAAATAATGAGAATGTGGTCAGAGAGTAAAAATTTTATTTTCTAAGTTCAGTTAAACAATTGGTGCAAAATATTAATGAACATGTAATATGTCTCCATTCAAATGTTATTTGCACTTGCAAGCTTGTGCAATTTACTGCTTAATACAGCCATTTATTAAATACCACTGTTTATTAGATAGCAAGATGTATCAAGTTTATGTTTTTACATGCCAAAGTTTTTACTCAGGCTTATGTTGGGAAATATAAGGGTAACAGTGATTATATGTTTATAAATCATAACTTTCATGAAATGCTGTGATGAATGGAAATATGTTCATCAGAAATTACTTTAAAACCTTAAGGTCAACATTGGATGTACGTATATTTTTTACAATAAGCCAAAAACTAATGCTTTTTTTAAAGAAACGAATAATATTTCTTTTGGAACTACAACACATCAGTTTTAGAGTAATATTAAATTTAGGAGATGTGGTGTTATTGCAAATGAAGCAACTATTTATTAAGGACCAAAAGGCTAAAGAACAATTACAGATAGATTCTACAATGAGCAAAACTCACCAAGCTTTGTTTATAAAAGAGACATGATTTAGATGGTATTTCACAATGAAATAATTATTGACTCAATGAACCTTTGAAATCTGTTAAATTAAGAATGACAAATTTTGAAAATCTTTTGTGATAAAGTGCTAGAAACACATTAGAAGAAAGAGGAAAAACACCTGGATACTTATTGAGCTTCTATCTTTGTGTATAAATTGTTGTATAAGTGTAAGAGATTTTTACATTTTATTCACTAAGTGAAGTTAAATAATATATTGAACTTTAAAAATTACTATGTAATGAAATAACTTGTCAATAAAATTATTTCATTTTTAGATTTTATTGCCTCTCATTTGAATCCACGTAAATACAATATTGTTCACTATCCAATCTGTACATGCTAACCCTCTCTGAGCACCTTATTCACTTATCATAACCCCTTTGTTTTAGGGTATATAGATTCACCATGTCTGTCCCTCCGTCATGCTTCGTAGCCGATGCATACCTTTTTTTCCGTAATACTTGGTTAACCTATCTTGGTATGCAGTTGCATCATGGGCTGGGGATGTGTCATATACAAAAGTCAGGTACTTGAATACAATTAAAGTTACTGTGAGGTATACATCAGTTAGACAGCAACTTTCTTCGTTCAAATCATTGACTGTTTGAGTATAATTAACGATACTGTTAGGGCACTGTGAGGTAAACATCAGATAGACCACAAGCAAGCACCACTGTAAAACCGAAAACCAAAAGACTCTAGACAACATAGGTCTATAGCCACAGAAGAGAGTTGTAAATACCTTATATTTGAGCAAAACTCAAATGAATTATTTATGGTGCTGTTACAGAAGATACACTCACTGCAGTATCAAACTTGAATTTTTTTGTGATATGGCCAGTTTTCAAGAATGGTGTACATATCTGACAAAAGTACCTACAAATGTTTTCATGGTATACTTAATGTTTATTCACTTTCAGTTTTTAAACTGGTTTCCAAAGGAAAAAAATCTGGTTCATATGAGGCAGGTTGTCAGTTGGCTTAGAAAAAAAATCTTTTTATTAATATGGGGTAGTACATCGTGCAACTCCAACTGTATCTGTGCAATTACTTGTGAACCATTCAACAAATCCCTTTCAAATTTAAATACATTGTTTCTAATGACAAAATAGAGGTCAAGTTTGATTTTGACCATTTGCATGTTTGCCATTACGGAGTTATGGTCCTTTATTTTAAAATGGCACTTTTTGTTGTTTCTGTGCAATTGTTTGAAAACAGTTGAAACATTTTTTTTTTTCAAATTTTAATATGTTGTTTCAGATGACAAAATGGAGGTCAAGTTTGATATTGACAATTTTCACGTTTGCTATTCAGCAGTTATAACCCTTGTTTAATTAAAAAATGAGGCTTTATGTTGTTTCTGTGTCATAGCTTAAGAATGGTTCTACAAATCCTTTTCTCATGTAAAAGTGGAGGTCAAGTTTTAGTTTTGCTGGTAAGGAGTTTAGATCCTTGATTGATTGAAAAATGTAGCTTTATGATGTTTCTATGTGATAACTTGAAGGAAAATTATTCAACATGTTTTGTCTGACAACAAAATTGAGGTCAGGTTTGATTTTGACTATTTCCGCTGATGCTGTTGAGAAGTTATAGCCCTTGAACATTTTATCAATGACACTACTAAATGTAACACAAAACCTGGTTTGCTATCGTGTTGACAGCCTCTTGTCCCAATTATGAAGGATTGATCAATTTACTGTACGTCTTGTGAACATTGGAAGGATTGTAATTCTTTGTGAATTTTGAAATCCAGGGGCTAATAAAATGCTTCGCTGAGCGCAGCCTGATACGACCGCAGAGGTCGAACCCTGAATAGTTGGGGCAAATTTGGACACAATATTCAAGCTTGATACTGTCTGAATTTGGATTGTGATCACATTTTTGACATAATATAGGTTTCTGACACAAAATAAATGTGGTCAAAGATCTTACAAATCTATTGCGCAATACTGTGCAATTGAAGGTTTCTTCTTTCTTCTTGAAACTTTTCAAAAATTTTGAAAAAAAATATGAACCCCTTAAAAAAATTGGAAAAAAAATCCCCCCCCCCCCCAAACTTGTTTAATCCCTCCTTAGAGCAATTACACCCAAACTCAATCCCAGCCTTTCCTTTGTAGTATGGAACCTTGTAGTACAATTTCAGAGAGATCCATTCACTTAAACACAAGTTGTTGTCTGGAAACTAGAAAAATGCTTGTTTTTGGCCCTTTTTTGGCCCCTTATTCCTCCATGTTTGAGGCAATTACCCACAAACTCAATCCCAGACTTCCCTTTGTAATATGGAACCTTGTGGTACAATGTCAGTGATCCATACACTCACACACAAGTTATTGTCCGGAAACTACAAAAATGCTTGTTTTTGGCCCCTTTTTGTCCCTTAATTCCTAAACTGTTGGCACCATAACCCCCAAAATGAATCCCAACCTTTTACTTGTGGTATTTAACATTGTGGTACAATTTCAGAGCAATCAAAATACTTATACACAAGTTATTATCCTGAAACTAGTAAAATGCTTGTTTTGGGCCCATGATTCTGTAATGAGGAGTACCCAAATTGCATTCATGCTTAAATTCACATCTGTAAAAAAATAAATAACTGATGTTTTGTTTTATTTCTCCAAATATTTAGAACAATTTGACAATAGTCCATGCTTACTGTTCATTTTTGTCGAGCCTTTGACTTTAGTCGAAAAAGCGAGACATAGCGATCCTACATTCCGTCGGCGTCGTCGTCGGCGGCGTCCACAAATATTCACTCTGTGGTTAAAGTTTTTGAAATTTTAATAACTTTCTTAAACTATCTTGGATTTCTACCAAACTTGGATAGAAGCTTGTTTATGATCATAAGATAGTATCCAGAAGTAAATTTTGTAAAAATAAAATTCCATTTTTTCCGTATTTTACTTATAAATGGACTTAGTTTTTCTGCCGGGAAATATTACATTCACTCTGTGGTTAAAGTTTTTAAAATTTTAATAACTTTCTTAAACTATCCTGGGTTTCTACCAAACTTGGACAGAAGCTTGTTTATGATCATTAGATAGTATCTAGAAGGAAATTTTTAAAATAATAAATCCATTTTTTCCGTATTTTACTTTTAAATGGACTTAGATTTTCTGCCAGGAAACAACACATTCACTCTGTGGTTAAAGTTTTTAAAATTTTAATAACTTTCTTATACTATTTTGGATTTGTACCAAACTTGGACAGCAGCTTGTTAATGATCAAAAGCTAGTATCTAGAAGGAAATTTTGTAAAATAATAAATCCATTTTTTCAGTATTTTACTTTTAAATGGACTTAGATTTTCTGTCAGGAAACAACACATTCACTCTGTGGTTAAAGTTTTTAAAATTTTAATAACTTTCTTATACTATTTTGGATTTGTACCAAACTTTAACAGAAGCTTGTTTATGATCAAATGCTAGTATCTAGAAGGAAATTTTGTTTTTCTTCCAGTTAACATTACATTCAGTCTGCAGTTAAAGTTTTTAAACATTTATTAGATTCATAAACTATCCTGGATTTTTACCAAACTTGGACAGAAGCTTCTTACAATCAAAAGATAGTATCAAGAGGAATATTTTTATTGATTTACTTCCTCATTTTTGTTGAGTCTGTGATTAACAGAAAGTAGGCGAGACACTGGGTTCCGCGGAACCCTTACGAATTTTTTAAGAAATGAATGCCTGTAATATATTTTAATTGTTCATTTTTAAAAGTTGACTTTTTGTTGTCGTCACATGGCGATGTATCTGTAGATTTTACTTTTTTCAGTGAATGCTTCATCTGTTGATATATACTGTGAAAATTTTGTGTATATTTAAATATATTTAGCTTTGTTGAAAGACGTGCATAATGTCAAAACATAAAAATAAAAATTGATTAGTCTCTAAGAAAACTTGTAAGATTTCCACTGCTATTTTTGCTAAATGGGTGCAATTTGGATACTGTGACATTAACTGCAACAAATAATGAATAACATCAAAGAATAATATCTCTTCTCAAAATGCACCCAATAAAAAGTGTACCAGACTTTAAGCAGGATGTATGTACAGACACATTAAAGAATTAACAAATACATGTGAAATAATGTACCACGTCTATCAAAGATTTAAGGGGAGGGAAAAGACACTGAGTTAAGAGTTGGATCCTTCAAATAATAAACAGCTGTGCCATGAGCACATGATACGCCCGTCGTCTTGTGTGTGAATTTTTATGCAAAAATCATAAATAGTTTCTGACATACTGCGCGACATGCGAAAACCCCCCCTTTTTTTTTTTACAAAAAACTCAATATCTCTAAAATAAAATTTTGAATCAAACCAAAAAGTATACAGATCTTTAGATTAATATAACTAAGAAGTGTGTAAAATTTTAAGCAATAATCATAAATCGCTTTTGAGATACGGTGCGACATGTGAAAACACCTCTTTTTAAAAAAAAAAAAATTCAATATCTCTAAAATAAAATTTTGAATCAAAACCCAAAATTATTCAGATCTTTAGATTAATATAACTAAGAAGTGTGTAAAATTTTCAGCAATAATCATAAATCGTTTTTGAGATACGGCGCGACATGTGAAAAACCCCTCCCCCTTTTTTTTACAAAATACTCAATAACTCAAAAATAAAATTTTGAATCATCACCAAAAAGTATACAGATCTTTAGACTAATATACCTAAGAAGTGTGTAAAATTTTAAGCAATAATCATAAATTGTTTTTGAGTTACGGCGCGACATGTGAAAAACCCCTCCCCCTTTTTAAAAAAAATACTCAATCACTCAAAAATTAAATTTTGAATCATCACCAAAAAGTATACAGATCTTAACATTAATATAACTAAGAAGTGTGGAAAGTTTTAAGCAATAATCATAAATTGTTTTTGAGATATGTGAAAAAAAACACACACCTGTTTTAGTTACTTAGTTCCGTAACTCAAAAAGTTTTAATCTTATTTTCACCAAAAAGTATACAGATCGTTTGACCATCATAAGAAACAACTATGTTAAGTTTCATGAAATTTGGATAAGTCGTTCTCAAGTTACGGTGCGACATGTTTACGCCGGACAGACAGACGACATTTGTATACCATAATACGTCCCGTCAAAATTTTGACGGGCGTATAATAACTAGCTTAAAAATAGCCGGTGAAATAAATTCTATACTAGAAAATTTTGAGTAACTTTCAGAGAAGTTTTAGCAGCAACTAATAAATGCCTTGATGGAAAGAAACACTGTAATAAACATTGGTTTATTTCTAAATAACAATAAATATATAACAGTACAAAAAGAAAACAATGCTTTAGAGATCACTTATAGCTTGAATTTGAATCTGTAAATATCACCTAGCTTCATTCATCACACAGAATCAATGTCTTCATTGTCAAATGTTCAGTTATGTGTGATGATGGTGGCCATATACAATGTTTGCATCAATCAGTGGAATTTTTCAAAGGTATAGTTTACAGAACCAGCAATAATTGAAGAAAATTGGTTATAACAACAGCTTGACATATTGTATAGGACTTTTTGTTGAAGACCTTTTATATGCTGGTTTCTTAGATTACTTTTGATTTTTTGTCTTCAAACTGATCAACTGGTAAAAAAAAATAGTATAAGGCAAGTGCCTTGTATAAAATAAATTAATTCTACCATTTTAATAATTGACTCTCTGTTTCAAGAGAAGTTTGTATACATCAAACATCTATTTATCAAGCACACAAGTATTAAAGTAGTTTGACTTGGATATGATAAATTCTAACATGGGATAGATCACTGATGCAATACATAATATGACAATATTAAAAAGAGCAGGAAAAATTAAAGTAAATATTGCACTGGAATGACAAAATATATTGTATGTGAGGAAACAATATTGCACATGACATATAAAAATATAAGTAACAATACAAAATTATGTAACAAACAAATCAATAACTTAAGTACTAAGTTAACAACAGACTCTATGTATAAAAACCACCATTGACTAGATAGAATTTTATGTAAAATTCATAAATACAACAAAAATAAAAAATTCTAGTATAAAATAAGATCCTGGTTTTGAAATATAATCAAGACTCTTTTTTTAGTATTCAGATTGTAAAATGTCAGGTTATTAAAAAACATTCTCGTTTTATAATGTTCATTATATCCTATAACTTTACAAGATTCTTAAACTGCAATCAGTTTTTCAACATTTCCTTAATATGTTCAAACTCCTCTGAATTTTTCCTAGACAATGCATTAACAAATTGTGTACAGCAACCTTGATATATGATTCTAAACTTGTTCATATTTTCTTAAATTAAAGTATACATCTAAAAAAAAAAACAACTCAAAAACAAATATCCTTAAAGCATTGTGGTTTAACAGATATAATAAATTTATCATGTTTAATATCCTGGATAATACATTGAAATTATCATCAGTTCCCTGAATAAACTCTAGGCATGAATACTTTGGTTATTTTCCTATTATCACTAAGTACCAATACCTGACACTGATGTATGGTAGGAGAGACAGCAAGACATTATTACATAAGAATATACTGCAAAGTTAATGTAGACATGCCAAAATAAAAAACTAAGTCATGAAAGCATATACATGTATCCTTTACAAATTTGGGGAGTGCAGATAACAATATCTTTGTAAACTAAGTCATGAAAGCATATACATGTATCCTTTACAAATTTCGGGAGTGCAGATAACAATATCTTTCTGTCAAAATTTTAGGGAAAAGTCAATGTATAAAGATCTCTATTGTATCATTTTGCCTACAACAGAATTGCACTTTGATTTAAAAACAATTTCTGTAACTGTGATAATTCATGGTAATAATTTCAAACTCCAGTTTCGTGAAAAATACTAGATGTTGAGCTCTCTTTTCTTTTCCTCAGAGATTCATTAGCATTTTCAATCCATTCAGTCAAAGAAATAGGTGTAATTATATCACCCCTTATGTCCAGAGGGGTCAATGACTTTTCCCGATGAACTTCAACGGAACATGTTATTTGGTTTTTGGCAGGTATAGTAAAGGCGACAGTATCAGGTTGTTTTGCCTCAACAACGTCTATTTTGCCTTGTGATGGTGGTTTTGTGTGAGTGTTTCCTTTAGACTGATTAAGCTCGTCTTTTCGTTCATATTGTATCAAATCATCATCATCGTCAGAGCATAGATCTCTCAGTAATGCATCTGCCTTTTCTATTTCACTTGACAAACTACTTATAGAGGTTTCTATCTTTGAAATGCGATGTTCATAGTTTTGGTTTAGGTAAGTTTTCTGTTCAATATCATTTTGTTTTTTCCATTCATGATTATTATTTTCTTTTTCATAACTTTGTTTCTTATTACTACTTTCTGTTTCATTTCTTTCATGTTTATCACCATCAGATTTTTCATCCGAGTCTAGAATTTCAAATATATTTTTTTCCAGCTGACTATCTGTATCTCCAACAGAATCAGATTTCTTTTCATCACATTTCATACTTAATCCTGAATCCTTTTTCTGAGAGTTTTTAGTAGGATCATATAACGGTTTTTGTGAAGGTTTGCTAGAATTCGTCAAAATAACATTTTTAGAAGGTGACTTATTATCTGTTTTCTTCTTTACATGTGGTTTTGTAATATGGTCACTGTCAATACGAATTTCAGGTGTTATTTTCCTTGCAGATTTCATGCCCATTATAGTAGGTCTTTTTGATCCAGGTTTAATTAATAAACCAGTTTGTTTATCTGATTTTTCAACTTTCTTTGTAGTATCACTTCCTTTTTGTTTTGAATCTTTTGTGGGTTTTATATTCGACACATTTGAACTATTGTTAGTATGATTTGTAACTTTCTTAACTGGTGAATTCCAAGGTTTTCTGTTCATAACTTCAGATCCCTGTTTCTTTACTGATTCATTCGTGACTGGTTTCACAACAATTTTATGAGCCTCATTATGAATTTGTTTTTTTGCTGCACTGTTGGAAGTTTCCATTTCATATTTAGTTTGATTTTCATTATTAGTCAGATCATTATGTATATCATCTTCAAAGAATTCTGCCAACAATCCCACTTTTCCTTTTTGATTATCTGTATCTTCTGTAGATACTGTGAAAAATGACTCTTTACTAGCCTTCTTGCTAATAGTTTTGATACTACTTGTGGGACTTGCTGCTTTGGCAACATGCACACCTGGAAAAATAAAAAAAATATTGAAATAGTAGTTAAAAAAAGAACTAAAATTATGTCCCATAGGGATATATTATCCCCTTATATGTAATCATGTTTGTTTTTCAACACTGTATCAATTCTAACATCACTGCAAGTTAAAATTTCTTGAAAACTATTCATTTATTTTATAGCTTTTTTAAGTATTGTTGTCTTAAGACCATATGTTGAAAGATTATGAAACTTGTATTTTACAGATTAGGCTGATAAACTAAAGGGAAATAACTCTTTTTTTTTCTTTTTCACAACTTTTACAAATGAAAGACTTGCATAATTTAACATTTTTCAATGAACGGACATTCATATTTTTCTCCATTAACAAAACAGACTGCCATGAAATTCTATAAGTGGAATTTGGTAGGTTTTAAAAAAAAATAAACAAATAATAAAATAATACTAAATCAAACCTGCCAGCCATTGATTTTTCTGAAGCATTTACAGGACAAGAGTAGTTTGTATCTACCAACTAGCTTTGTTCAATTGTTAAACATTTGGTTATGCCAAACCAACCAACTATTATCTATGTAAACGGTAGTGTTTTTAAAGAGCTAACAACAACACGAATGACATTCTTAATATGCTAAAACATTACTAATGAAAAGTGATGCTTTAAAGTTCACTGAATATGCAACTAAACATCTGGCATGATGATTGTGTGCATATTTCCAGTGATTCTACATATATACTGCAACCATTCAGGTTTAATCCACCATTTTCTACATAAGGAAATGCCTGTACCAAGTCAGGAATATTACAGTTGTTTTCCACTTGTTTGCTGTGTTTGAGCTTTTGATTTTGCCATTTGATATAGGACTTTCCGTTTTGAATTTTCCTTGGAGTTTGGTATATTTGTTATTTTACCTTTTTTTCAAAATGCTGCATTGAATTTTTTATTAAATAATGAAATCTTGAAATTAGAAGTTCACAATTCCATGCAAAGCAAATGGTGATCTTGGTCAATGAAATATTTTTGTGAACAGTTTAAAGCATTAATAATCTGATTTAAGCAATAACGACCATGTTGGTTTGACGATAGAGTTGTTTAACATAACTTTCAAAGCAGACCCCTTAAAATGTTTGGTTTTAACTGACCTAGCTGTTTCTGAGAAAAAGTTTACAACACATGCAAAGAAATGGAAACAGCTCAAACTGACCCTTTGTGTCAGGTGATGTAAGAGCCAATTATCTATTAAAGACTTAGACCTCCTATTTATGATTACCCGAATCAACACTGTCATCTGTGTGTGCTGTTCCATCTCTGTTTAGTTGATTCTTTGTGCCCATTACAGCCTCATCAAATGTTTTAGGATTTCCCTCTGTAGCTTTTAGTATTTCATCATAAAAATCCTCAACCTCCTGTGCAGTTAAAGATCTACTTTCCTCCTGACAGGGAATTATAAAACTTCATTAAAACATGGGATATGGTCAAACCTAAGTTGTCCTAGCTATGTATTATAAAAAGAATTTAATTTGGTTATCTTGGTATACACTCGTTTTATAAGCCTTATTATGTGTTGTAACATATGTGTTTGCATGTCTTGATCTATAATTATTATCAAATTGTCCTTTCCCACTATGGGTTTTTGAATGGTAAAATAAAACATTTGATTTGTATTTATTTCCATATTAACATGTTTGGAATTGTTAAGTAACTATGTAGAAATTCTAATATGATGTTTACAGTTGTTATTTTTGTTGGACTTGTGTTGTAGGTCTGCTGTTTCATTCATGTTTACCACAATTCTGCTTTCATTTATATGAAACTGACTGAAAATTTCCCAACCACATTCTTAATTTTTTCAATATTCTAACTTTCCTTTATCTTCAAGATTAAGAATTAATGGGACTAAAGGTATTCTGTAACTTCAGTCCTTTCTATTGCATTTGTTTTAACCACTGCATCAAGCATGTTTTCAACTTCAGCTCTGTAGAAGAATTCTTAAACCAAATAATTTTCTCTCGTCTGTTCTTCAGCAATTTTCATATTAACCAACCTTCTTTGAAACTCCATCCTCCTGTAAGTTGTCTTTTTTCACTTCAATCATCTGATTATCATCAGAATTCATCTTTACATCTACATTTTGTATGTGGTTATTTTCACTATAGCTGTTGCCATCTGGTTTTATAAATTCACTTGAGTTCACATCCTCAGACTTAGTTATCTCCCCTTGATGACCTTGAATCTCATCAGAGGAAGATCCTAATTTCTTAATGACTTGGGACGCTGGATTCATCACCTATAATGAAATATATTCAAATCATTACATTCTCAAATAAGGATGTTGGTTGCTATAGGACTTTCTAGTAACTCACTTCCGAAAGCCTGAATCTAATTTCAAAATTACAATTGAATACAAACCATTTCCCTTGTTGGGAAGTATACTGGTGTAAATACTGGTTTGCTGCAGTGCAGAACAATGGTGAGAAGTAAAATAGAAAACAATTAATTTCCAGATTTATGATCAAGTTTGATTACAAGTATGTTGGAAGACCATTAATAATTTTTAGTTTTATCAACCAAATATTATCTTTAAATCAACGGGGATTAAAAACTAATAATCTTTGACTCTTCATTGAGCTTCATTGTCATGAAGCAGGTTTACTTCCCAACAATGGAAATAACCTGTTCAAATTATAATTTTAGAGTTTCAGAAGGCTATAAGGTTGAACTAATAATAGAAGTAAGGATTGTGGCTTTATTACTGAAACAACCTGGAAATAATGAACAATAATATTAATAATCAGCATTCAACTCAGTTGTTCAGTAGTTATAAACAATCAAAATTGCTACAGGGCTCCTGCAGATATGTTGGTCTTACCTGCATAACAGTCTGTAGTAATTTTGGTGTTTTTTTACGTTCCTTTGGTGGGTGAAAAATTTCTTCAACATCCACTTTACTTCCACAAAGAGAACTTTCACTTTCTTTCTTAGTCATCTTAGCATTTTGTCTTAGTAGTTTTCTATAATTAAGAAACGAAAAATGTATATAAGATGATATACAGATATCGTTACGGAATATTACAAAGTAAAAACCACAACATCGTTTGTTTATTTCTCATCCCAAAGATCACTTAAAATCTTCAATAATCATCGTTTGCACTGGATTTCCATTCACTTTTTGTACAGTAATAAAAATCACTCTATATTATAAATTCCTTTTATTTTAGCTGGTTTTAACGGTAACATTTGACACTTTCCTTTTATAAGAATGTCTAAAATTTGATCAGTTCCTTAGGTTTTTATTTTACTCTTGGTATACTTATATTGTAGTCACTAGCAGTGTCTAAATACACCTGTTCATGTTGTTTATTGACTTAAAGAAATTTGGCAAAAAACCTACAGCTTTATTTACCCCAATACAGATTTCTTTGCTCTCTAAATGTCTTTTCTAATTTTGTTGTGTTTCAGGGTTGCTGTCTCAATGATGTACATCCCATTCTTACCAATTTAAACCTTGTGAGTAAAATTGTCTCGTGCAAAAAAACAGAAAGTTTAAGGTGTCATGATTGGTAGCTTATTCATTAAGATGTCACAATATTGGAAGTTTCCTTGGCAACAGATCCACTGTTGTCTAAAAATCTACACTTAACGCTTGAAAGACTGAAATACATAATAGAGAAACAAATTATCCTTATCCATATGTTTGATCATCAGTTACAATATTTTTTTTTACCAGCATCAGTTAACTGTTAGATTGTAATATGCCCACTGAGGCTCACATGTTGAATACTTAAATTAAACTATCTTGATAAGAAATATTGAAACCAAATCACAACTAAAGGAGAATCCATATATATCTATATTCATTTTAATTGAAAACATTTAACACATTTTTGGTTGACTGTATAGCAACATAATACTTCCTGTAAAATGAAACCAAAAGTAAGCATTTATTATCGCTATTTTACGAAATTTTCCTTTGATCTTGCCGACTGATAATTTCCTTTCCCAGCGGAGTCGAGTGATATGAAAAATTATCGCTAGAAACTAAGGGGGCACGTGGCGTTGCTAATGAAATTGACATGAAATTGACAACGTCGTCATAGGTAAAATAGCGATAAACAGATTATCATTGGTCATCTCAACTCGATTACTTTTCTCACATTCGCCGTACCGTCTCAAGCGAGAAAATCAATCTCGTTGAGATGATCAACGATAATCTATAAATATTTAAAAATAATTTCTTCTCAGAACAATATTTACCAGCATTCTTGCAAAAATCCTATAATATAAAAAAAAATTGAATACAGAATTAGCCCAGGATCTATACACACCTAGCTCTTTTCTTTAACATTGTATGTGCTGCAGGAAACTCACTCATTGCCGACTCAAAGTCAGCTTTACTCAGCATGAACAAGTTAGTGAATCCTTTGACCCTGACATCAGCTGTTCTTCTATTACCCTCTGTCCCCACTGATAACAAACTGAAAGTAAAAGCTTTAAATCCAGTCAATAGAGAAAATTCAAGTTCAAAATATTGTCAAATGTATTAGACATAATATTAATCTCTCTCTAAATTTTATTTGTGTTATTGGGTTGCTGTCTCATTGATGTATACCACATATCTCCTTTTATTCATTTGCAGTTAAAAATGACAAAGCAACTGAATTTTGTTGACAGTTGAAAAGTGACATCATTATGTTCATTTTTTTGTATTTGGATTGTCTATTTTACCAATTTAAAAACATTCAAAACATTACTCACATTAACTGCGCGTAACGTCGCACAAGGAAGTCCCAATGTTCAGAGTGGAATATGAAGTTTTGTTCAATGTCACGTGGAATGGTCTCAACCAATCAAATATTGATTAAGCTATCAAATTTAACATAGTGGAATACTACAAAATGTACAAGTTTTTTTGTCTTAGAGTCATAACTAAATTATTTTTTATTTTTTACATTATTCTAAATCACCTTAATTTGAAGATTTACAGAGACAGTAGATGAAGATCACATCTTCAGTAAAATATGTCATGCAATAAAATTTACCTAATTTCGCCAAACACTGAACCATTTTTTAAAGTTGCAAACACAATCGAATTTTCAAGTCCACCAACAACTTCTACTATTCCTTGGCTAACTATATACATTTCTTTTCCTACTTCACCCTACAGAACATTTCAAACAAGTTAGGCATTCTTATTGTCAAATTTTTAACTTGGTTAATTAAAAACCTTGGTATTTCATGGGTCAAATATTAATATATAAGTACAGATATGTGATCAGACATTCGATATGAAAGAGTAGACTTCTGTGTCACCTTAAACTTTCCAGCTTGTCCAGCAAAATGTGATATTTTGTATCATGTATTTTCATTGGAAGAATGAGGCTGATAGGAAAAAACATCCCTTTGAATGCAAGATATTTTCCCTTATAAACTTTAATGTGCGCATGTTAAAATTGCTTCTTCTTACACTTTATCTTTATCCATGATTAAATCAGGGCTTCCAAAATTATTTTTAGCCAGCTGGACATTTTATATATTATCCCGATTTTAATCCCTTAAGACAAAATAAACAAAAGGCAATTATGGTAATCAGTTGGCTAGTTGGCCATCCCAATGGCAATGATTGACATTAACAAAAACGATATTAAACTTTCTTTGATTCAAATTTGAAGTTCTGACGTAAACTGTTAAATTGGCAGTGCATCATTCGAAGTGTGCAACATCAGCGTACTTATATCTGCCTTAGACTCTTTATTTGTGCAAAATAAAGTTGTCAAAAACTTTACTTTCGTTTTTGAAGTAATACCGGATGTTATCTTGACAATGGTAAAACATGGACCAGAGATGGATACGTAAATTCCGTATACGTTTGCAAAGTATGAAATCTTTCTACGTTATTTCTTCAAGAATATATTCGAAATAAACGTGAGATAAAGGTATCAATGACAATTTAAACATTTTTTGAAGAAATTAGGATGCATAATTAAATGTCACACCTGCGCACATGCGCACACGTGTACTAGTTCAAACAGAGACATGTCTCTGGTTCAAACAACGTGGTTATATGACGATTTTTCATTTTCACCTTTTTAATTTTTCATCAAATCATATTTGCAAACGTATTTCTGATAATTTAAATCTTTTTGACTAAATTAAATAGATGCAAACCGCTGAAATGTAAGAAAATAACTTTGAATAGACCGATCAATGTCCGGTTCAAAATAGTTTACCTGTCACCTGAACAGGTAAATTTCAGCTGTTCGACAACTAATTAGCCTTGATTAAAATGAGAAGGTATTAAAGTAGGGGTTGTTTTGATAGTACTTAATGATCATGTCACTTTTATGACCGGAAATGTGTGGCTGTTAAAGGCAAAATGTTGGGTCAAAAAGATCGCAAATTATGTTAAAATGACCGTCTCTTAAGAAAGCCTTAAAAACTAAAAAGTAGATGACCGTTTCATGCTTTTCCCAGCCGGACTTTTACCGGACATTATACAAATGTCCGGCATATATGACCGTTTTGGAAGCCTTGGATTAAATCCATCTTTATTGAAAAAGGAGATGTATGTGAAAAAATAGTATGTAATAAAAGGAACCATCTGACAAAATTTTATAAACTGAATAGCTGGGTCACTTTTTTAACCCGTTTTTTTAATAGGACAAGACAATTATTTTTCTTATAGTTATTACTTTTCAAAGTCGGTATAATGTAATACAAGCAGGTATTACATATGTATATACCTTTCTACACACATATTCTCCAGGCAGGTATAACATAGGCTTTAGTTTCAACACCAGATTGTACAGCAAAGACTTGTCACAATCTTGAAACAATTTCACTTTACTTAACGTGTTGAAGTGTACATGAATGGCTAAGTCTGTCCTCAACTTCGTAGGTAATGTGTCCATTAATGCCTTTTCATCTGAAAAATAAAGATTTTTAATATAAAGTATTTAATCTTAGTGTTCAATGTTGAATATTGTAATACAGTAGTTTCAATTCAAATTATCTCCCCTTTATGTTTATGCACAAGGTACTTTGGTTAAATATAAAGATGATGATGGTGGATGGCTGCTTAACATCTAGCAGCAAATTAATATGCATATTCAGGACGAGAATATAATATGAAATTTAACCCTGCTTTGTACTAGACTGACAAAATGAGCTGGATTTTTAACGTGCTAGTTCACAAGGTAACAGTCCGCAGGAAGACATGTCACCATACCCGGACACATTATTCTGATTCAGAGCTGACCAGTCTTTGCTCTTTCTCCTTAATGCCGCGTGCAAGCAGCAAATACCAATTTTAAAGTCTTTGGTTTGACCTGGCCAGGGTTAAAACCCACGACCTCCCGCACTTAAGGCTACCATGAGACCACCATGGCGGTTGGTTAGATATAAAAGTGCCTTTTTGATTTTTTAATAAATCTATTATTCTGGTGTATTTTTAAAAGTATGAAAGAATTTGTAAGCCTATAAAACATTTCAAACTGGTTGATTAAATAAGCATAGAATCAACTGCTGTTTTGGATAATCAGTTACACATTGTCCAATTATCTTAATGACTTTATTGCTATACATACCGGTATGTGTGCTTTGGAGATTTTATTTTGCTGAAACCTGTTGAGCAAAATGTTATGCCTTTAGATAAGATTAGACACATCTTAATAGATAAGCAATAATTTGAAACTTTTCTGCATCTATTATGCCCAAAATATAAATAATCTCAATAAAATATAGAAATAAACTGTAAATCAGTATCTAACCTAAAACTTTTTGTTGTTGCCAGTTGTACAGAAACCAAACTCTAACTTTTTCTCTCATTTCTTTTGGTAGGTTAAGATTTTTAACATATCTCAAAGCTGTTTCCATTCTTTTATCATACATTGTCTTCACCCTCTGTGCAGACTCTACTATGTCACGTATCTATCGAACATACAAAATTTACTTTGAAAAGAATACCAGAGAGCATCATTTTTTCTAATCAAAATATAAAACAACTATGCCTGTAAATTTGATTTTGCATCAAAGCAGAGAATCCCTTTATATACTGTATATAATAAAGTCAAGAAGTTAGGATATTGGAAACTAAAATTGATCCTGACCAATATTTTGTGGTCTGTGATATTGCCCAAGAGATAAAAAAAAAAAGTCACTCCAAGAAACATCTGCAAACAAAATTCTATGGCTGTATAAAATCTGTTTCTTAGAACTGGATGTAGATGTGCATACACATGCAGACATTTTTGCTTCTGCAATAGTTTCCATGAATATTGTTGAGTCAAATTAAAGTGTCATGAAGAGATGAGTAAATGGACTCAGACTAAATCTTAAATATTTGAAATAACACTTATATTATATTCAAAAGATCTCATAATCGGCACTGATTTTCAAACCTGTCCGATACATTGCTGATAAAAACCTCTGATATAAGTTTGATAAAAATCTGGCAAGAATTTGAACATGACAGTGACGAAAGGGCGGGGGACAGTAAAATCAGTTCAGGATTCAAAGTTAGTATACTCACTTGACCAACCAGTAAAGCAAAAACAAAGACACCTGACAACCAGTAAACTGTCATGAAAACATACTCCAATTCATTCTGTGGTTTGTTTATCTTTCCTATAGAGGTTGCTGTCTTGGTAGCCAAATAAAAACACCTGATATACCTGTGGATTAGAGTTATTATTTTTATATTCATTTATATAAAAGTGAGATTCAAAATGTCAAGCTGATCAAAGTTTAGCTGCATTTTTCCATTTACATAACAATGTTAACACATACTTTCAAACTCAAATATCTTAAATGAACAGATTCTTGAGTGTTAGACTTCAATGTAAGACCTGATTATCAAACATTCTTAAATACTTACAATCCTTTGAAGTTATAATTTTTTTTTACTTCTTTTTCATAAACTGTTTGATTTTTATTTAATGTACTTATTCCTATGACAAAACTTTCATCATAATAGTCCCTGTTTTCAAGCCTTACTATTCTCTTTTACTAAATGTAACCAAATGGCATTACAGGTCATACTTTTAAGACAGGTATTATTTATCATATCTGAATAATCTCATTTCACTCCAGGTTTTTGGTGGCAGTTAGCCCAAAAGTTTTACATTTTAAATTTTTGTAATTGTTAAAATGTGAAAAAGCCTCTTTATTTTATTTTTTTTTGTATGTTCTTTTAACAAAGAAATTTTCACATTTTTCAATTACTTCATTAGGTTTGAAAACTGCAAGAAAAGATTTCTGTTCTTTTTTAAATTCCATGTAACTTACGCATTTCCTTGCCCATTGTACACCCATAGATTTTTATCGAATCCTTCATACAGTGATACTGAATAGTAACCACAAGTTTCTATATGGATCAGGAACACCATGTAGGTCATTGTCTTCAAAATTCTGTCAATAAAATTATTTCTGATGTCCATTATTTAAATATTTTTTAAGCCTTGTCTTATGTTTGTTGGGATATTGTATATTATGATCACTCTTTCAATATCTGAGAAAAGGGATAGTTTCATTTTTTTGGGGAATAAGGAATAATAATATTTTGGATAATATCATTTTGTACCGGTAATAAAAATATGGAATGTTTAAATATTTTCAGGAATATTCACTGTCAAAACTTTAATAGTATGGAATCTTAGCAATTCTAAATTTAGAGAAAATGAATTCATCTTCAATTTGATTTCAATAAAGAATCATTTTTACATTATTCATTTAACTCTTAAAGTTTATACATTAAGAATCGGGAATCTTACTTCAGTTGAAATAAAGACAGATGTCTTTTGATTATTTTTGTCATTGGATTGCTGTCTTATTAATATATACCCAACATTTCCTTTTATTCTTAATATTTCGGCTTAACCTGCTGAATTTTTTAGATTAGAAATCAATACGACTCAAATGTTGCAAGAAACTATAAATTTCTGAATTTAAGACAGCTAAACATCTATTTTTAGATATTCATCTTTGGATATAATTGATTGGTATATAAGTAGTGTTCGTTTTTACATACCTTAATATATGTGCTGATCTAACAGCCTGATCACATCTCTGGTAAAATTCCCAAAATGTTTGAATCTAAAATAATTTGTTTATAATTATATACATCAATGTCTATTAGGCCAAAAGTGCTTATCAAAAATAAACTGTTGACACAGAGACATGCTTATAAAACTGCATATGAAATACCATTGACTAATCATAAGTGGTTCCCTAAACACTAAGCTAAACACAAACTTTAACTTGTAAACAATGTAAAAGTTTCAAAGTCAATGAACCTTGATGGTGAGTGGGACCAAATAATCTCCATGGAAAAGAAGACTTGCAGATGCTTATACTATCATTGACTTAACTGTAGTGGTTCCTCTTAAACTGATCTAATCAAAAACTTCAACATGTAAACTATGCAAAACATTCAAAGTCAATAGAGAATTTCTGAGGGGGGCAGAGCCAAATGATCTACATGGAAATGAGATGTGCCAATGCTAAGGCATCTGCATACCAAATATCATTGACCTACCACTAGTGGTTCCCTTTAAACGGACCTTATTACAAACTAATACATGTTAAGTAAGCAAAAGTTTCAAAATCGATAGACCATGACTGAGGGGATGGGGCCAAATAATCTCCATGGAAATGAGATGTGCCAATACTAATACAACTGCATACTAGATATCATTAACCTACCACTAGTGGTTCCATTTAAACTGACCTAATCAAAAACTAATACATATTAAGTAAGCAAAAGTTTCCAAGTCAATAGACCATCACTGTGGTGGCTGGGTCAAAAGGTCTCCATGGAATAAGATGTGCCAATGCTAATACAACTGGTTATACAATTTCATACCAAATATCATTAACCTACCAGTGCTAGTGGTTCCCCATAAACTGACCTAATCACAAACTAATACATATTTGACACCACTGATGGCAGTGCCGCTGGAAACAGCATAACCAAAATCAACTATTAACTGGAAGTTTCTTATGGATTTATAATGAAATTCATTAAACTTTTCGATATATTATTGTCTTGAATACACCATCAGTAAATGGTTGCAAAAGTCAATTTACTGTAGAACTTTGAGTTACAAGCTTACTAAATAAAATCCTGATGAAGATATTTTACTTCATATGGTGCACTATAATTTCTATGAAATTCATACAATATTTCAGGAACATTATAACAAGGATAAAACAATGGACTATTAATCCTTTTGACAGGCATCATATCTTAAACATGGAAAATTTAATAACCTGAAGAGGATAAATATCAAAATCAATCAGGTATTGTGGTAAAATCTATGTATATCTTATTAAAATCTACTTATAAAAAATACAGCATGACTATGAGTCTCTTGCAAGCATTTTTTCTTTGCATATTATAATTCAATTGTCAACTGAGAGTAACAGAAAGAAAATGATTGGCAAATACATACTTGTATCTGTATAAATAAAGTAGTGTGCTTTGTGTCTATTGTTTTCATGTTAGTTTTTTTTTGTGTCATACCAATCATTCGAGTTAAGCCAATTGCTACTGATTTTTACAGTTTGTTCATTTCTTGTGCTGTTACACCACTGTCCTAGGTTAGGTGATGGTTTAGAGCTCACAAACATGTTTCACTCCGCCACATTCTTTATGTGACTGTCCAAAGTCAGGAGCCTGTAGTACAGTGGTTGTCGTTGGTTCATTTCTCATATTTTCATACTTGTTTTTCATAATTTGTTCTATAATATATTAGGCTGTTAGTTTTCTCATTTGAATGGTTTCACATAGTTCATGTTTGGGCCTTAAATATATCCAACTATATGATATGGGTTTTTCCCATTGTTGAAGGCTGTGGGGTGGCCTATAATTGCTTACTACCACTTCATTTGAACTCTGGTGGATAATCTCATTGGCAATAATACCACCTCTCCTTATTTTTTAAAGAGAATACCTGGGTAGAGCAGTTATTACAAATCCATAACATAGAAATAACAATTTATGGTAACATAAGGCGCCACTACTTTATATCAATGAATATTTGTGACATAGCTCCTCTTCATGTTATATAATGTCATGAAATATTTACCTTCATCAATCTTGGGAGTCTTAGTAATGTTGATGTTCCATGTATACCAGTCACAAAGTAAAATATATCTAATGGCATCAATGACAAGACATCAAACTGAAAGGAAAATATAAAGCATTACAGTGATCAAGACAATAGTTTCCATCACAGAATATTGACTATATTGAGCTAAAAGTCAATAGGGATCTCCCTCTCCTTATATATGTCTGTATATTCAAGGTTTGTTTCTGAATGAAACTCAAACTTAATCTGTAACTTCCTTTGATTGACTATATACCAAACATGTAATCAACTAATTTGGGCTGTACAGAAAAAAGGGTTAAAAAATTATATTTTCAAGCAGTTTTTCTATGTCCTAGGGCCATCACTTCCACTCCCCATATAAATTTCTAAACCAGAATGAAATTCTAATTTAATCTGCAACTCCTTCAATTACGATAGTATTTCCATCACAGCATTGGTTTTATACGACATTATATAACGTCATGTGTGCTTTTGTTTGGCATAAATCTATATCAATAGGTTGAGCTAACAGATAAATATCTTAAATGGGATCATTTCTATTTCGTAGCTTAGATAAATTTGATAAATGATCAAAATAATATATTTCTGTTTTGTAGAATTGAATAACGTACATGTACATAACAATACACAGATTCATGGAAAATTTAACACAGGCAAAATGATCTTGTCAGTTCAAGAATCCAGGATTCCAGTTTGCCCATGTTTAATTTAAACGACATCAGACATCAGTCTTTAGTAAGAGTGTTTCTGGTAATGAATAGGAATCAACATCAGACATTAGTGTTTAGTAAAAGTCTTTCTGGTAATGAATAGGAATCAACATCAGACATCAGTGTTTAGTAAGAGTGTTTCTGGTAATGAATAGGAACCAACATCAGACATCAGTGTTTAGTAAGAGTGTTTCTGGTAATGAATAGGAATCAACATCAGACATTAGTGTATTAGTAAGAGTGTTTCTGGTAATGAATAGGAATCAACATTAGACATCAGTGTTTAGTAAGAGTGTTTCTGGTAATGAATAGGAATCAACATCAGACATTAGTGTTTAGTAAGAGTGTTTCTGGTAATGAATAGGAATCAACATCAGCCATCAGTGTTTAGTAAGAGTGTTTCTGGTAATGAATAGGAATCAACATCAGACATTTGGGTTTAGTAAGAGTGTTTCTGGTAATGAATAGGAACCAACATCAGACATTAGTGTATTAGTAAGAGTGTTTCTGGTAATGAATAGGAATCAACATCAGCCATCAGTGTTTAGTAAGAGTGTTTCTGGTAATGAATAGGAATCAACATCAGACATCAGTGTTTAGTAAGAGTGTTTCTGGTAATGAATAGGAATCAACATCAGACATCAGTGTTCAGTAAAAGTGTTTCTGGTAATGAATAGGAATCAACATCAGACATCAGTGTTTAGAAAGAGTCTTTCTGGTAATGAATAGGAATCAACATCAGACATTAGTGTATTAGTAAGAGTGTTTCTGGTAATGAATAGGAATCAACATCAGACATCAGTGTTTAGAAAGAGTCTTTCTGGTAATGAATAGGAATCAACATCAGACATTAGTGTATTAGTATGAGTGTTTCTGGTAATGAATAGGAATCAACATCAGACATTAGTGTATTAGTAAGAGTGTTTCTGGTAATGAATAGGAATCAACATCAGACATCTGTGTTTAGTAAGAGTGTTTCTGGTAATGAATAGGAATCAACATCAGCCATCAGTGTTTAGTAAGAGTGTTTCTGGTAATGAATAGGAATCAACATCAGACATTAGTGTTTAAAAAGAGTGTTTCTGGTAATGAATAGGAATCAACATCAGACATCAGTGTTTAGTAAGTGTTTCTGGTAATGAATAGGAATCAACATTAGACATCAGTGTTTAGTAAGAGTGTTTCTGGTAATGAATAGGAATCAACATCAGCCATCAGTGTTTAGTAAGAGTGTTTCTGGTAATGAATAGGAATCAACATCAGCCATCAGTGTTTAGTAAGAGTGTTTCTGGTGATGAATAGGAATCAACATTAGACATCAGTGTTTAGTAAGAGTGTTTCTGGTAATGAATAGGAATCAACATCAGACATTAGTGTATTAGTAAGAGTGTTTCTGGTAATGAATAGGAATCAACATTAGACATCAGTGTTTAGTAAGAGTGTTTCTGGTAATGAATAGGAATCAACATCAGACATTAGTGTTTAGTAAGAGTGTTTCTGGTAATGAATAGGAATCAACATCAGACATTAGTGTTTAGTAAGAGTGTTTCTGGTAATGAAGAGGAATCAACATCAGATATTAGTGTATAAGTAAGCGTGTTTCTGGTAATGAAGAGGAATCAACATCAGCCATCAGTGTTTAGTAAGAGTGTTTCTGGTAATGAATAGGAATCAATATCAGCCATCAGTGTTTAGTAAGAGTGTTTCTGGTAATGAATAGGAATCAACATCAGCCATCAGTGTTTAGTAAGAGTGTTTCTGGTAATGAATAGGAATCAACATCAGACATTAGTGTTTAGTAAGAGTGTTTCTGGTAATGAATAGGAATCAACATCAGACATTAGTGTATTAGTAAGAGTGTTTCTGGTAATGAATAGGAATCAGCATTAGACATCAGTGTTTAGTAAGAGTCTTTCTGGTAATGAATACGAATCAACATCAAACATAAGTGTTTAGTAAGAGTGTTTCTGGTAATGAATAGGAATCAACATCAGACATTAGTGTTTAGTAAGAGTGTTTCTTGTAATGAATAGGAATCAACATCAGACATTAGTGTATTAGTAAGCGTGTTTCTGGTAATGAAGAGGAATCAACATCAGCCATCAGTGTTTAGTAAGAGTGTTTCTGGTAATGAATAGGAATCAATATCAGCCATCAGTGTTTAGTAAGAGTGTTTCTGGTAATGAATAGGAATCAACATCAGCCATCAGTGTTTAGTAAGAGTGTTTCTGGTAATGAATAGGAACCAACATCAGCCATCAGTGTTTAGTAAGAGTGTTTCTGGTAATGAATAGGAATCAATATCAGACATCAGTGTTTTGTAAGAGTGTTTCTGGTAATGAATAGGAATCAATATCAGACATCAGTGTTTTGTAAGAGTGTTTCTGGTAATGAATAGGAATCAACATCAGACATCAATGTTTAGAAAGAGTGTTTCTGGTAATGATTAGGAATCAACATCAGACATCAATGTTTAGAAAGAGTGTTTCTGGTAATGAATAGAAATCAACATCAGACATTAGTGTATTAGTAAGAGTGTTTCTGGTAATGAAGAGGAATCAACATCAGACATCAGTGTTTAGAAAGAGTCTTCTGGTAATGAATAGGAATCAACATCAAACATCAGTGTTTAGTAAGAGTGTTTCTGGTAATGAATAGGAATCAACATCAGACATCAGTGTTTAGTAAGAGTGTTTCTGGTAATGAATAGGAATCAACATCAGACATCAGTGTTTTGGAAAGAGTCTTTCTGGTAATGAATAGGAATCAACATCAGACATTAGTGTTTAGAAAGAGTCCTTCTGGTAATGAATAGGAATCAACATCAGCCATCAGTGTTTAGTAAGAGTGTTTCTGGTAATGAATAGGAATCAACATCAGACATCAGTGTTTTGGAAAGAGTCTTTCTGGTAATGAATAGGAATCAACATCAGACATTAGTGTTTAGTAAGAGTGTTTCTGGTAATGAATAGGAATCAACATCAGACATCAGTGTTTTGGAAAGAGTCTTTCTGGTAATGAATAGGAATCAACATCAGACATTAGTGTTTAGAAAGAGTCTTTCTGGTAATGAATAGGAATCAACATCAGACATCAGTGTTTAATAAGAGTGTTTCTGGTAATGAATAGGAATCAACATCAGACATCAGTGTTTAGTAAGAGTGTTTCTGGTAATGAATAGGAATCAACATCAGACATCAGTGTTTTGGAAAGAGTCTTTCTGGTAATGAATAGGAATCAACATCAGACATTAGTGTTTAGTAAGAGTGTTTCTGGTAATGAATAGGAATCAACATCAGACATCAGTGTTTTGGAAAGAGTCTTTCTGGTAATGAATAGGAATCAACTTCAGACATTAGTGTTTAGAAAGAGTCTTTCTGGTAATGAATAGGAATCAACATCAGACATCAGTGTTTAGTAAGAGTGTTTCTGGTAATGAATAGGAATCAACATCAGACATCAGTGTTTAGTAAGAGTGTTTCTGGTAATGAATAGGAATCAAACATATCATGTTTGTATTCTATATACAGATAGTAAAATAATTGAAGAACTTTTGTGTACATTACTCATTATTATAAAAACTGAAAATTACCTTGAATATACTCTTCTTCATGTAATGTTTTCTTGTTTTTTTAACATCAGTCTACAAAAGCATTATACAGAGACTCTTTATACAATAACATAACTAATGAGTATCATTAAAATATTAATTAAAGAAAAAACTCAATATTTAAAAAAAAAATATCTATTTAAAACAATTTTTTTGTGTTTTCAATTTCATTATTATTCTACAACATTAATTCATTGGATCTCACACACACATAATGTATATATAAGTTGTAATGTTATAAAATTTGAAATAGTCATGAATTTAATTGACAAATTGTAGAATAAAATCTGATATTTCTGCAGTAAGAACCTTATTATTCTCAAATGCTGTGTTGCAATGTTTCATTCTCCCTAAAAAAGAAAAAGCATTATCTTCCTTAGACAAGGCAGAGTTTAAATGAATTGTTGTTTTATGCTCCAACTGATCTATGTAAATCTGGCTTTCAACAATTTCTGCTTTTTTTAATGTACATGATTAAGTCTATTACAGAAACCTAAACTGCTTGCATTAAATTTGGAATCATGTTTTGTATAATTATCTATATTTGGGTAGAACATTTATGCATAGTGCATTCTATCTATCAATACTTCCCAAATTGGAAATCATTTGTTTATGGTATTCAATTAATTGGATTTTAAACAGCCTTTGCTATCATGTAGACATCTTCCTTTTCAAATACAAATTAATTTGCACTTTTATACATTCAACAATCAAATACAAATCAATTTGCACTTTTATACATTCAACAATCTATAATTTTCATCAATATATTAAATGAACTTATTACAAAGTTACCTCATTCAATCCACTGACTAAATAGGTCAGCCTCGGTTTGAACACTAAAATATCCAATAAATAAATAACATCAGCTGTATAGTCTGCTAATAGCCAATACAGTTTGTTCCTGTCATTCATATATCTTGTTTGGAATGATGCTCTCAGTGGAATGGCATATGCATTGTACATAAAAGTCAAGGTTACCAAAAATAACCACCCCATGTAAATTTTACCTAAAACAAGGAACATGACATTATATAAAAACACATAAAATGCGGTAGTCTTTGTATTTTTTAGTCAATTTTATATAAAAAAAAATGTAAAATGCCCAAATTAAATAAATAATTATCCGTCCTAAACTGTCAGTTCCTGTAAGAAAAAAAACATCTAACATTTTCAATTCTAATTTTAATGATATCATTATCTCTCATTTTAATTTATTTTAAAGATGCATTCTATAGAATTTATATCTTCTAAAAATAGAACCAATATAAATAAAACATTATGAGTAAATTTATATTTACTTTTGTACTTAAAACAAAATATCAAAAATTATTGTTTGACAACTTCTGTATAATTCTTAGGTGAAATGGTACTTTATCTGGACAGTTGAAGTGGAAAACTGAATTGTTCTGAATGGAAAAATTATATTATCATGGTTGAAGATACCAATCAAAGTATTCAAATAAATGAAGAAAACTACTTACTTTGTGCTTCAAACACCTTAGGAATTTTACAGGTAAATCTTGTTGATCTACAACACCTAAAAAGGTGATGTTCTTCCTCAGGCTCTCCAGTAGGGGTAGGCTTGTGACCTGGTATGAATGAATCAATCCTATGTGTCCTTTGAGGAGGCTCCTCAAAATTGGTGATGGCTGAAAATATGAAGAACATACCTGTCAAATCTGTTGGTCCATAATAACACTATTGTTTTTGCTTATTTGCTCAAAATAATTAATCTTTAGTTATATTCAATCACTTTTGTGTGTCCATAAATGAAAATTGTGTCACCATTGTCCAGGTAATTGCTGATTAAATGGAAATTATCTTCATATTGTAACAGGTAGTCTGTGAGCTATTGATCACTAAGTGATACCCCTGTTTTAAGTATTCAATAAACAGGAAGTTGAAGAAAAATTAATCTAAGAACACATTACATGGTAAAGCATGTTCACATAAAGACTAATAGGAATTTACAGGAAGCTCTTATATGTAGTTCCATAGAAAAGTACGACAAAAATTTCATAAATGGCCAGTATGCATTAGAAAAATATATATAAATATTAAGGAAACAGAAAGTTGATGAGCAATAAATCTGAAACCCCTTCACACAGTATAGCATGCTGACATGAAGCCTAAAAACAAATTTCAGGAAGCTTTTGTGTGTAGTTCCTGGGCAAAATGCGAAGGAATTTAATGGGACGGACAGACATACAGGGGGAAGGATGAACAGAGAAGGTTAAACAGTATACACCCCATCCTTTGGAGCGGGGTATAATTACTTGCTTGTTAAATTATATAGCATATTTGAGTAAGAAGCAAATATAAGGACAAAATTGCTGGTTAGCAAGTTAATTCAGAAGATGCTTTACTCAATAAGATTGGTGATTAAGTTTATTTAAAAGATTTCTTACTCAATAAGATTGGTTTGTAAGTTCATTCAAAAGATTTTTACTCAATATGATTGGTCTGCAAGTTCATTCAAAAGTTTTTTACTCAATAAGATTGGTGTGCAAGTTCATTCAAAAGTTTTTATACTCAATATGATTGGTCTGTAAGTTCATTCAAAAGATTTTTTACTCAATATGATTGGTCTGTAAGTTCATCCAAAAGATTTTTTACTCAATATGATTGGTTTGTAAGTTCATTCAAAAGATTTTTTACTCCATAAGATTGGTCTGTAAGTTCATTACAAAGATTTTTTTACTCCATAAGATTGGTCTGTAAGTTCATTCAAAAGATTTTTTACTCAATAAGATTGGTCTGTAAGTTCATTCAAAAGATTTTTTATTCAATAAGATTGGTCTGCAAGTTCATTTAAAAGATTTTTACTCAATAAGATTGGTTAGTAAGTTTATTCAAAAGATTTTTACTCAATAAGATTGGTCTGTAAGTTCATTCAAAAGTTTTTTACTCAATAAGATTGGTCTGTAAGTTCATTCAAAAGATTTTTACTCAATAAGAATGGTCTGTAAGTTCATTCAAAAGAAAGTTTTTTTACTCAATAAGATTGTTTAGTAAGTTTATTCAAAAGATTTTTACTCAATAAGATTGGTCTGCAAGTTCATTCAAAAGTTTTTTACTCAATAAGATTGGTAAGTAAGTTTATTCAAAAGACTTTTTACTCAATAAGATTATTGTTAGTCAGTGTATTCAAAAGATTTTTTACTCAAGAAGATTATTGTTAGTTAGTTTATTGAAACAATTTTTTACTCAATAAAATTGGTTAGTTCTTATATTTTCTGCTTTACAATTTGACAAGGTAAAGGAACAAAGTTTAAAATTATCAACAACCTTTGATTGAAAGTAATTTTGAAGTCCTCAAAGTTTTTTTAAACCTCAGGTTCTAAGTTATGGGAACTTACAAATTCAACAAAATCTTATGTGAAGATTATGTTCTTACTAGATATCAGTGTTTCCTTCAATCATAAAATAAATCTTGCTACTTCAATTTTTTTTTCTTTATCTATTGCAGCTTCTGAAGGATAGCAACGAGGTTTTAGCTCTAATGACTTTTTGGGATTATTTTAAAGGTGACATGATATGGTGATCATTGATGAAGAACAAAATGTATACAACTATGAATTCCAAATTAAGATCATCAAATCAGATTGATCCATTCCAAAGGGGCAAAACTCTGAGGAGTCTCCAAAAGGTTTCTGTTGAAACATTTACATTTTCTTGCATGAGTCTTCAAACAATTACAGCCTCTAAGTTCACCTCTTAACCTTACATTTCCTGGGCATATCAAAATCTTCACCCCCAGAAAAAGTTATTAAAGAATGGAAGAGTGGATTCAAAATAGGTCATGCATTACAAATATTTGATACAAAATAGGTCAAGCATTACAAATACTTGATACTAAATCCTAATCCAAAATATTGTGAACTATTGGGATCAGCAACTTTAAAACATTTACAGAAAATATATAATCATCACAAGAATAACAGTTGTTCTCAAAGAATAAAGTGAATTCTACCTCTTTATGTCTGAGAGGCCACAATGACTGAATTTCAGACTCTTACTCAATTTTTGTCTAGGAGTGATTGAAACTTTTTTGTCAAAAGCCATAAGTCAAAGTATTTTATGCAAAACTTTTAAAGATTAAAAATACCTGATAAGGCATCTGAATTTGCATCATACTCTGGTGAATCAGAAGGTGAAGGTGGCACTACTGTACTGGCCTTGACCCTTTCTGTCCGACTAGAGAAAGCTCTCACCAAGTTATGTAGATGCTCACTGAGACTACTGCTGAGGTTGGACAGAGATCCACTTCTAAATGAGCTATACAAAATAGAAATATCATATATATATAATTCTGACATAATTAGATAATCATAAGATTGGATATAAATCCACTCTGAATAGAGCTTTGGAAAGTTTAAGTATAATACAGTTTGCAGGTACACAGACTAGCGTAGAAGCTGAGCAGAAATTCGTTCTAAATGAGCTAAACAGAATAAAAATACTGTTAATTCAGAAAATTTTTGAAAACATTCAAAATCAATGAAGGTGCAAGGCTAAATAACCTCAAAAGAAATGAGAAATGCCAATGCACAAACAACTGCAAACCAAATACAATTGACTTATCATAAGTGGTTCCCTTTAAACTGACATAAACACAAACTTAACATGTAAACTATGCAAAAGTTTCAAAGTCAATGAACCACAATCACAGTTATACTTTTAGTTCTAGTTGGGTAAAACGCATATGGAGCTATGAATTCTAGAATGCAGAGCTACTTAAAAGTTTTGTCTAGGTTATAAATGGCAAAGTAAAACTTTGAAATCACAAATACAAAAATCAAATCAGATTTTTCATAGCCATACCTTGCTTGCAAGTGGATCTAGTTGTGTACATATCTAATCAAAGAGAGTGACCTTCAGTTTATATTATGAATCAATTTGCTCCCAGTCAGTTTCAAAGTTTAGAAACAAAGACCTTTTGTATATCAATCCTACTAATTTCAATTTAGATTAGCCACATAATTACAGAAAAATAGACATAAATGGAATTTCCTACAGAGATTAATGAAACTCTCTGTTGGATCATTGCTGTAGTGCTGGTCTTCGAATCAATTACAGAAGCATAACCAGTAATCATTTCTTTTGAGTAAACAAAAAATTAACCTTGTAATTTCATAGAAGAATAGAAAAAACTGGTTACACAGTGATATGTCTTGCCTGTGTAACCTAATCCAAAACGTTGGAAACAGTACGCCTTAGTCTTGCTTTCACAAGTTTATTGAATGACAAAAAAATCACATGATTATAAAAAAAAATTCCTTCTTACAAAAATGCTTTAGCCACTCCTGAAGGACTGACAATTTTTTATTAAGGCCCTATCTTAATTTATTTAAGCTCTGAAGATATGTAGTTAATAAAGAGCTGAGCGCATGATTGCTTGTCGCTTTTTCAACGAATAAAGTTTCACAACTCCTCAATGTCATAAAAAAACTAAAGGGAGGTTATTTTAATAGAAATAAACCAGTCACCAAAGTTTCATGAAAACTGCTCAAAACACTTTTGAGTAATTGTCCGAAAACTGGAAAATCGCCCCTTTTTTATGAATAAAATTCCACTACTCGGAAATGTAAAATCTAAAATTTATAAAAATGAAAAAGGAGCTTACGTCAATGTCATATCAGAATTTTATAAAAAAAACTAAAGGGAGGTTTTTTAATAGATATAAACAATTCACCAAAGTTTCATAAAAGCATTTTTGAGTTATTGTCCGAAAACTGGAAAATCCCCTTTTTTTAATGAATAAAACCCCATATGTTGACCACGGACGGACAGATGGTCGGACGGACAACGGTATAGCATAATAAATGAGAGAATTGTGTATAGGGTCTGCAAAGTTTAAAACCATTTGGTCTTGCATATTTAGAGAAAGAAATTAATAAACTGAACATTTGAAATAAAAAATTACCTCTGGTAGCCATATTTTGCCAAATCTACACAAAACAAAGAACTTTTATAATGTTCGTTATATATTTATTATTTCTGCCAATATAAAAACTAGAGTCTCTAAAGAGCCTGTGTCGCTCACCTTGGTCTATGTGCATATTCAACAAAGGACTCTCTCCAAAAATGTAGACGAGAATAAAATTCATGACAAAAATCTCTGTTTTTGTTGATCTTGTATTGCTGATTTTTTAGTCTGTTTAGTTTCTCTCTATCTTCTTTAGTTTTTGCTCAAAACACAAAAGAGGGTAAAAAAATCCTCATTTAAGGGCAATCACTCCTATAACGAGTGACAGTCTACTAACTATATTGACAAAATTTGACTTGTTAGTAGATCTTGCCTTGCTGATCATTTTTGCTTATTTAAGTGTCTTTTATCTATTATAATTTTTAAGATATATGGCAAAAACGCAAAAAATTGGTAAAAATCGTCATCAAAGGGCAATAACTTTAATAAGGAGTCGACTGATGATTTTGACCATGAGACTTAATTGTAGAACTTGTTTTGCTGATCGTTTTTGCAGTTTATAGTTTCTCCCTGTCTATTATAGTTTTCAAGATATTAGGCAAAAATGAAAAAAAATGGTAAAATTTGTCATTTAAGGGCAATAACTCCTATTAGAAGTCGTCTGACAGTTTTAATATGTATGAACAATTGGTAGAGCTCAACATTCTGAACGTTTTTGCCCTGTCAGATTTTCTCTACCTATAATGGTTTTCAAAAAATAGACAAAACTTGCATTTTACTCCTATCGTCTATTTTTAGCCATGTTGGCCATTATGGTTGGCAGGCGGGGTCATCAAACACATTTTTTGAACAAGATATCCCAATGATGATTGTGGCCAAGTTTGGTTAAATTTGGCCCAGTAGTTTCAGAGGAGAAGATTTTTGTAAAAGTTAACGACGACGGGCCAGGTGAGCTAATAAGAAGATGAGATATGATTGTCAATAAAACAACTCGCCACCAGTTTTTGTCAAATTTGTCTTTGCAGTTTTAGAGATGATCAAAATGTTTAAAGAATGCTTTAAGCAAATGATGGTAATAATGCCAAGTAACTACAATATAGCTCATGAATACTAGCCATTTTGGTTAATTCAGGCTATTGTTCTAATATTAATTCATCATATATATATCGTATAATATTTGCTTGTGAGGCCCTATTTTAGTTCCTGAAAATGTGCAACCTTAGGCCCATCTATTATATATTTTACTATGATTATGTTTCAGAAAATTTCCCAATTGGCTGTTTGATTAGAGCAATAATCTAACATGCTATAGTATAAGTTTTAGTGACAATAATGTCCATTTCCACATCTAACTTAACCTTTAACCCACAATCAATATTACATTGTAGTTTCAGTGTGTGCGGTTAAAACACATATTTCAGAAAACACATATTTCAGACAGAGAACACCTTATATTGTTGTTACCCCCATTGAATCAAACTAAGTAATTACCTCTAAAATCTAAAAATGAGAAAAAATTCCGGTCGTTACAAAAAAACAGAAGACAAGTAATTTTCAAAACTAAATGTCAAATCCAAAATGTATTCTGAATATTGTCAATCTAAATTTCAAAATGTTCTCTAAAATTTAAAAGCAATTAATGTAAAACACACAAAAACTCAGCATTCATTTACATAAATCGCATAAAAGTCAAATTACATTGTTTTATAAGACATATCAATTACTGGCCTGATGCTTATTTCCCTGGAAATCAATAACATCTGTCACAAAAACATTCAGTATTCAATTCTCCTTGATTTTCCCCAATAGTCCATTAATATTTATTAGTATGCTATTATATAAATAATTTTCTTTGTACATAACTGAATAGAAACATTAATACTACATTAATTTTCAATACTATAATCTTAATAGTATGATAATAGTTCTTTATATTTTTGATTTAGTAACTCAGATTTACTGGTTTTATCTATTAAATGGATTCTTTTAAAGACATAAAAGGACGGTTGAGTAATATCAAACTACTTTAACCTTGCTATATGTTTAATAAAGGGACAGTCCTGTCATATGTTAATGTGCAAGTCCTGTCATATATTAATGTGCTAGTCCTGTCATGTTAATGTGTTAGTACTGTCATATGTTAATATGTCAGTCCTGTCATATGTTAATGTGCTAGTCCTGTCATATGTCAATGTGCCAGTCCTGTCATATGTTAATGTGCGAGTCCTGACATATGTTAATGTGCCAGTCCTGTCATATGTTAATGTGCCAGTCCTGTCATATGTTAATGTGCCAGTCCTGTCATATGTTAATGTGCCAGTCCTGTCATATGTTAATGTGCCAGTCCTGTCATATGTTAATGTGCCAGTCCTGTCATATGTTAATGTGCCAGTCCTGTCATATGTTAATATGCCAGTCCTGTCATATGTTAATGTGCCAGTCCTGTCATATGTTAATGTGCCAGTCCTGTCATATGTTAATGTGCCAGTCCTGTCATATGTTAATGTGCGAGTCCTGACATATGTTAATGTGCTGTCATATGTTAATGTGCGAGTCCTGTCATATTTTAAGGTGCCAGCCCTGTCATATGTGTTTTTGGTTGCAGTTTCATTGGAATATACCCCTTTCCCTAGTTACCTTGTAAGATCTATACCTCATACTCAATTATACCTTTCATTAGATTCAGTATATGAGGACCTTCTTGAGCTGATTTTCCCCAGTTCACTCCATACAGAATTAATACTGAGTAACCCAGGACTGGGTGGAGGATGACCGTGTCTATCATAACCATTGATGCTCAGTAATCCTGGGGTTGGAGGGGCTGGTAATTGTCCATCAGATGGGAAACTGTCCCAATTATTGGATTGTTTCTGTCCCAAATCATCACTGGTGAACTGTATTCCATGGTTTGTATGGATATCTGAAATAAAATTTGTTTTTCATATATATATATTAATTGCTATAAATGAACAGTTCTGCTTGACAAATTCAGAAAACTTTTATTCTCTTTATAATTGGTCTGTGACCACCTTCATAGATTAATAAAATGTATCTTATACTGATATATTGTGTCTGCAATACAAACAAATGCACCATTTTAAAAATAAGAAGAAAAATGTAGGTCACTGTGACCTGAATGTTGCTACCGGTAAACAGATTTATCCTTTGAAAGAATTGCAAAAGTGAAATATCATTTATGTAATATATAAATATCAAGTATCTCTAAGATATATATGCTCAAATGCAATACCTAACAAAATTCTCTTAAGCATGTAATTTTTGTCATAATAACTTCAATATTTCTAAATGGCAATGTTATTAAAAAGATGTAAATGGCAGTGAAATATTAATGATATATTACCAGTTTGAGCTTTTTAAGAAATTGACCTGAATGCAAATCCATAACAGTAAAAAAGTATGAAAGTAGGTTATAGTAACCCAAATGTTGCTGAACAGAAAATTATTATGCAAGAGGTATGTAGTAGTGAAATGTCATTGCAATATGTATATATCAGTTTCTGAGAAATGAACATAAATTCAAAGCTAGTTTCAATTCATTTAGGGACAGGATGTAGAATGATGGGGTCCACAGCACTAAAGTGTACAATAGGTCTGCTGTGGTGAAATATTTCTAATATACTGCCATACATTTTAGAAAGATTAAATAAAGATTGGCCATCTATAACAAAAAGTAAAGTTTCTTAATTAGGACTGGTATGTTGGATAAATTTTGGAGAGTACTCAATCATTCATCATAAATTCTACTGGTTTGTGTCCCAAGATAAGGAGTCAACTATATGTTTCAAACCAGTCAAATTATCGCTATTATTGAATCATATACACTATAAATTTGAACACAATATCCAATATTCATATGTTTCATCACGACACATGTCATGCCTGTGATGTGAATAAATTGGTTCAATGTCCCAAGAGATGCTCTTCATACAAACACATCTAGAGTTTTGCTATAATAACATTTTCCCTTCCAGTCAATTAATACTCAATATATTATATAAACTGTTGACACAGAGATATGTCTCACCTTTATGTAATTTTCAAAGTATAATGCAAATGTTGACATTTTTTGGGGCCCTTTATAGCTTGCTGTTCGGTGTGAGCCAAGGCTCTGTGTTGAAGACCGTACTTTGACCTATGATGGTTTACTTTTATAAATTTTGACTTGGATGGAGAGTTGTCTCATTGGCACTCATACCACATCTTCTTATATCTATTAAAATGGCAATACTTTTTACATGTGAAATATGCAAAACATTCAAAGTCAATAAACAACTAGTTCATATAGAGGATACCTTTACAAAATTTGGTCTGTTATTGCAGAGACATTAAGGTAGATTCATGGTATACCGCCATCTTGGATTGTACTATCGCAGTACACAATCAGTCTAGTTATTTGCACAAATCTGCAAATTTATAGACAGATGTGCAACTTTATTGGTTGGACTGTTTATTTATATGAAGAAAACTTGTTGATTTATTGCATTATCCAAAATATTTAAACAAATACCAAACATTTGTGTTTTAGAATCATTTTTTTTCAACTAAGCCATTTAAGGGGAGATAACTCTTTTAGCAAAAAAATTATACTGGACTGATAGGGAAATTTTTAATTTTTAATTGTAACAAGTAAACAAATTCGGTGACACAATTTTTTATTTTTATTTTCTTAAAACATATTATAAAACCTATCTTCTCACAATTTATTTCAAAATTCTATCTCATAGATTTCTTTTAATGCACAAAAACGTTTTTTTCATGAACAATATAAGCAAATTTAGGCAATTTTCAACAACTCATAGCTTGAAAAATAGCACGGTGACCCATCCTTTTTATTATATTTTTGAAAAGATCATAGTAAAATCTTTATTTTGGCAAAGTATAAGAAAATTCTATCACGGGGAAACCTTAAACTGATGATCTACCTTAAGTTTCTTATTGATGTTTCACAACTACATTTATAGTCTTTCGGCTACATGTGTAGATGACCTTATTATTTAAAGATGCATATTTACTAAAAATCAAACTTTGAATGAAAACAGTAATCAGTAATAATACAATGTTATAGGAGTTGGAATCATGTGATACATTGTAGGATTTGAGGGATTGTAGTCTTAAAAAGCAAAATAACAAAAATACCAAACTCCAAGGAAAATTCAAATCGAAAAGTCCCTTATCAAATGGCAAAATCAAAAGCTCAAACATTGATCCTTCTTGAACCTACCTATTTGAGCATTTTTTTTTATTATACTTATCTTATTTAAAGCAAGTTATATATATAATGTTATCTTTTTTAAGTTTACAACTATGAACACTACAAGATGACAAAACCCTGTTTGCATGGACCAATGGCAATATGTATAAAAACAATCATATATTGTACATAGCAGATACTGTTGAAAAGCACTGTTGTTAATACAATATTCTGTCAGATTGGTATATTTAAGAAGAAGCTCTGCTAAAATTATTTTGACTGGGTTTATATATAACAATTGTGATTACAGCAGTTTTATAGTAAATCAATATGATATTGAATATTTAATGCTGTTGTCTGTTTTTTTTAACTTATAATCTTTGATTGCCATCTTGGTATCTTTTCTCTCTTTTTTAAATAGATAATCAGCAGCACATTAAATAATAAGCCATCATTTAATATCCCCCAATTTTTTTTAAGTGATACAGTCCCTTTTCCATCCCAACTGAGTTGAGTTCTCCCATATTATGTATATGTAAGAGAAATTCACTCAGAATAATCCCTTTCTTCCTACGTGCATGGGTTAGAACTTTCCTATTTTCTAAATACAGATTTTTCATTTGGTACTTCAGTCAAGAATTCTATTATAGGTACAGTCCAACATAGAACGATTCAATTATTTATTGATAAATGAACTTTCCTTGTCAGTGCTATATATGTGTATGATTATTAATTATAAATTAGTCCACTTTGTTTTATGCACATGGCATGACAATGCTATTCTTAACATCTGAAGAATGGTCGTAAAATCTATAAAGGGAACATAACATTTTATAAAGTGTATACCTTTCGCATATTTATATGAATAAGGATGTAATAAAAGTAAATGTTTCTGAGACAGCAACAAAACAATAAAGGGTACTGTGAATTCATTTATTTTCGTGGGCACTAATTTTTGATGCTTGAGAAAAAATTTATTTCTGTGGATATTTGATTTTGTGGTTTATACCGTTTTGAAAAAGTCTGCATACAAGCCTATAGATAATTTGTACTTCGTTGAACATTTAAATTTGTGGTTGGCCTATACCCACGAAAACCACAAAAATAGGTATCCCACAAATTATAATGAACCTACAATATCCAAAGTTGAAATTTTGAAAAAATGCTACTCAGTGGCATGAAAGATTCTTTATCATTGCAGTATGTTGACCTCTAGATGTCTTAGGTATGATTGTGATGTTGGGTTACTGTCTAACATTGTTGTTTATTTCATACTTTTATCATTAGATCTAAATGGCAGAAAGAAAATATTATCATGAAATTATCTAGGGAGATAACCTAACTGAACAGTAGCACTTCATCAGTTTATAGACAAAAAACCAAAGAATACATCAAAAACAAGACCAACCCTACTGACTCAACACATAACTAAATGGTATCTTTAAACTTGATCTACAAGTATGTTAGGCCTTGTTTAGAGAAATTAACATTTCCAGTATGTATTTAATTCCAAAACAATTCACAGATGATGAAAATAATTGTTCATTTAAGATCCAAAATGCAGCACTGAGCACAGCATATATCTGTATTAATTGTATGAATGTGGAAACAAAGAAATTTTGGGTAAACATCAAGAAGACAGAAACCCAACTACATAAATAAATAAAAGACATATAAAGGTCAACATACAGTTATCAACAATAGGCTGGTGTCTGTGCAATATTTAAGGATATAAATCACCCAGTTGTGAAAAAATTAATTTTCCTCTAATAATGAAAAAAAATGCAAATCATGTTGGATATATATCCAAAATTTACACTTTAAAACAACAAATTTATATGAAAAACATATTTTATTTCTTCATATATATGGGAAAACAAGTTTTCTTGAATTTTCTCATGTACTTTTTAGTTTCAGACCCCCTATAAAAATCCTGGATTTAGAAAAATTTCATAAAAAGTAGCCAATTTTACCAAATATTTACTTATCTTGGACAGGCAAACTTGCATAAATATCACATTCTGCAATGAAAATACTTTAAAAATGCCTACTGTTTTCACTAGCTGCTTGATAGAGTAATGGACATCTACTATCATCAATATCAAACTCCTGTAGGGATATAGCCTCATCCCTATCTGTGGGGTTTCTCCACGCCATTTCTTCTTTTTGCGGCTGTCTGGCGCCCCACCAAGTCGATGTAAAACTCCAAATCATAGAGAGACAATGTATTGAAACATTCGACCAGTTTTATTAATTTCTTCAATATTTTACGTCAGACTGACAAAAATTTAAATCCAGCTATTGTGTAAATAATATTCCACTCAAATTAATAACAGGCAACATCATGGCTCTTTTGTCAAAAACAAAATCCAAAATCAATACATTACTTAAACTGCAGTATTCACAAAATGAATAATGAATTGTTAAATCTAAGTTTTACATAACTACAAGAAAAGGATTAATTTCAATATTACAGATAAACCTTGTTTTCTTTAAGAGTACAGATGTGTTTCCACAAATGAACAAATTTTAGACACAAAGAGGCAATTATTATCCAAAATGCATGGAAAATTTCCTTTGTAAACTTCTTAATCACATAGAGTCAGACTTATCCAATGGAATGAATTCACTTGAATATGTGTAGGCTTCATACTATCACTTGATATTTCAATCCAAGTACACAGCTGTCTCCATAAAATATACTACGTCTATGCAAACTCATCGTTACAAAAGCCACTGATAGTGTTCAATGAGCCTCAATTACAAAATATAAATTGAAACTGTCATTTTTTCAGATTCCTATAGCTATACATATATTCATGAAAGGGAGAATGTATTTTTTTTGGTCTCTCTACGGTATTGGTAATGTTTAATCAATACCTAACCCTCAGAAGAAATTGTTCATGATGAATTGGATTTCCTGGTCTTTGGCTTTATACACAATCGGAAGACTTTCGGTGAAATCAGTGTAAAATCTGTCAATACTCTATTTACAGTCGGGACTGACAAACAAATAGATATATATTGAACATGCTATAAATATAAGTTCTGATACAGCTTGATTGAAAAATGATGTTCGTCTAAAGGTTTATTATCCCTTCTCATAAATATTTTAATAACTCAGAGGTATACCTTTTATACCATGTGCTTAGAATATATAATCTCTGAAGTACTGTCTCCGGAATATGTTTTCAAATACTGAAACAAGTTGGAATATGGAAGATTTTTAATTTTCAGAAGTATTTTTGTGGTGATGGCCTGGAAGACAGTATGGGTTTGTGAACAGGGTTGTCAAGTCAATGACTGGTTTATGGGACCAGTATCAGTAGTTTTGATTCTATTATTCTTGTTATACATTCATGTTTCCTGTTTGTTTGTTGTCATTATTTTAAATCCAATTATCATTTACAGCATAGGTTTCTGGGGAACATTTCCTTTAAATTCAACAAATGATTTCAGAGGATAAAACAATGAATTTTCCATGTATTGTTCTTTGTAAAATCATAGTAAAAGTATGTTTTTTGGTGGTGGCCAAATTAGATGTTATGTTAGATATGTTCAGATGATCAATAATAAAGAGATTTAATGTCCCCTAAGTTGCATATATTTTATCTGACCAAGGGCACTTTTTTTTTCTTTTAAACTTTTTATAAATATCCACAAGAAATGTAGACATCTCCTTATTTTTATATGAGATTGCTAACAAATTTTTTACAATGTTATTTTCCATATATATTTCTAAGGGTATGACTCCTGTACAAATAATTGGTCAGCACTCTTCCAAGACCTTGCTGATATAAGCCTTTGTTATAAACTTCAATTCGACAAAAAATGTAGGAGTGGGAGTGCTCACAATGCAATGTTCAATATAAATTAAACTTCAGAAAGACATATAATTCCTGAAAAAATAAAAGATCAGCACTGATTCTCGAACTCACCGGAGACATTGCAGAAATTTCTCCTGCAACAAATGTAGTTGTGCGAGTGCTTACAATGCAATTTTCTATATAATTAATATTTCCAAAGGGCATATCTTTTAAAAATAGTCGATTGGCACTGATTTTCAAAAAAGTTCACGACATTGCTGATATAAATCATTGATGTAAATTTCAAAAATATCTGGTAAGAATTGTACACTTGAAAGTGCTTACATTGCAATTTTCTATAGAATTTACATTTCCAAGGGCATATCTCCTGAACAAATAATTCATCAGCGCTGATTTTCGAAATCATCATTCATAACAGACTTGCTGATTCAAACTTTCAATATAAATTATATAATAATTCTACAAGAAATGTAGGCCTGAGAGTGCTTACAATGCAATATTCATATAATTAATATTTCCAAGGGGCATAACTCTTCTAAAAATAGTTGATTGGCACTGATATTTTTTTGACTTGTCCGAGACATTGCTGATATAAATTTCATAAATATCTGGGAAGATTGCACAAGTGAAACTGCTTACAAGACCAGACAGGTGGATGCCCAGTATTTTTATGTCCCCATGACTGTGCCAAAATCATAGGATAAATTTACACTGCAATTGAGTCAAACCATTAATTGAAGGCATTTCCTCAACATTTTTCTTTTCAAACTTCTTTTCAAGGCTCACAGTACACTAAATATGAACTTTTATGTAATTTATCAAAAGTTTTTTGGGAAAAGTCCCTTAGTGTGTAATATACATGAAGGTCCAGTTGACTTCCTCGTGTTCTTGCATGAAACTTAAATTCAAAATGGCTGAACACCACTAATACATGCGTAACCAATCTCTAGCTAATGGATTAAATTGAAGGTCACATGAATACGGATTCAATGAGGTCGAATTATTCACTTGCAAGTGAATAATTCATCAGCGATGTTTCTTACCTTATTTTGACAAAATTGAACTAAACTGGCTGCTAAAAGCAAATTAGTATTTCACTTTCATTAATGATTGAACAAAAAAAAATCTCAAATTTTAATTTTTTATATATCTCGTAGCTAATGCCCCTTTAAGGCAACAAGTAGATAAGCTAAAGTTCTAGTTAATTCTTTAACAAGTTTGATAGCTGAAAATTACTCAATTCTGTAATATACATTTTGCAAAATGACTTTCTATATATCCAAATTTATTCACAAAAACAATCCATTTGTTTTTCAAGGCTTTAGAACCTTTTACTGTTTGAATCAATAAAATTGAAGATGCTTTAATCAAATAGTAGAGAAATATTGTGTGAAATCAGGCTCTATTGATTTTTCTCTACTCTATTTAACTTTGACCTGAATGTTGTATTGAATAACACAATCAATCAGTCTGCTTCAATAGTATATCTTGATAAATCACAACCTACAGTACAGATTCAATCTCAGCAAATTTGTCATTTTTTCTTCACATTTTAAAAACAAATCTTGTGCTTATAAATTGTTTCATTCTTTTATGTTAATAAGACAAACTGCGTACTCTTATGATCAAAGTTCAGAATAAACTGAATAAGTAGAACCTGGGACTAATAGATAAAGGGACATGAAACTAAATTATTTTTTCAATTTCATTGTCCCGTTATTGTTTACCTGGCTGTTTTTGGGGCATTTCTCTGTTCAAACATTGGATTACAATTTTTCAAAGTCCTCTTAGGATTGCAAAATTAATATAGATAAAAAAATATGTGCCACTTAAGATGAATCATTGTAGGGTGTTCAGAACTAATTTTCATTTCCACAATTTTATCATTAAGTTGTTATTCTGGTGTCCAAAGTTTGAGAATTTTTCATTTTCAAAGTAAATTTTTCAAATATTTTAATTTTAGAAGGTACATGGAATTTACATATTCTTTATTTCTTGATATTTTTTCATCCATAATTTTTATATGTTTCCCTTACCAAAATGTGGTTAAAATCCTGAAGAGTTTGTCAACTTTCCCCCAAAATCTGTAATTTTTGTCTATTTGGAGTGTTAATGTCAACACTTTATAAGAAAAGCTCCTCAAAAATAATTCTATTTTACTTTCTTGTGTGACTATTCATCAACTTGAAACACTTTTTATCTTGCAACAATGGACTTAATATTCTGGACAAAATAAGGCATTTACAGAAAATACTTCTTTCAGTTTCTCTATTACTGCGGAGACCTTTGATCTTATGACTACAAAGTCAATAGAGGTCTTCCTCCTACCAATGTGCATTATCAAACCAAGTTTGGGAAAGATATTATTTAAACCTCAAAAGATTTGATCTAGAAATTGAGTTGTTGATGCCTGGACATGAGGACAGCATTCATCATATAAACCAGTCGTCTACATTACAACTTGGCTATAAATATTGGACAGGTACAACAGACCACACATACAGCAAGTCACAACACACAATACAACATTCAGTTACCGCATGTCACAACACACAATACAACACTCAGTTACCACATGTCACAACATACAATACAACACTCAGTTACCGCATGTCACAACAAACAATACTACACTCAGTTACCGCATGTCACAACACACAATACAACACTCAGTTACCAAATGTCACGACAAACAATACTACACTCAGTTACTGTGTGTCACAACACACAATACTACACTCAGTTACCGCATGTCACAAGACACAATACAACACTCAGTTACCGCATGTCACAACACATGATACAACACTCAGTTACCACATGTCACAATACACAATACAACACTCAGTTACCGCATGTCACAACACATGATACAACACTCAGTTACCACATGTCACAACAAACAATACAACAGTCAGTTACCAAATGTCACAACAAACAATACTATACTCAGTTACCGCATGTCACAACACACAATACTACACTCAGTTACCGCATTTCACAACACACAATACAATACTCAGTTACCGCACATCACAACACACAATACAACACTCAGTTACCGCACATCAAAACACACAATACAATACTCAGTTACCGCACATCAAAACACATAATACAACACTCAATTACCCCATGTCACAACACACAATACAACACTTAGTTACCGCACATCACAACACAACACTCAGTTAAAAATCAATCAACATATAGCTGATTTGGAGTGAACCACTGTGAAGGAGTGAACCTCTGAAACAGTGTTATTGCTTGACACTGAAAAACTCTGATTTAAGACCCTGCACTATAATACATATAGAATACACAGAGATTTTTCAGATAAATTACCTACAGTTATTAGTATTGTGAAAAATCATCATAAAGAGTGATTTTTAATTGAATGATAGTAGAGACAGCAATGTTATTGTAACTTCACTTACCTGGAATACTGAAGTCATTCTTTAGCGGGCCAACATTTTCACTACTTCTTCTCCCGGTAATTAACAATCTATGTGCTGGATTTATACCTCCAGCATATGTTCCTCTACGTGGCTGGGACTTGAAACGCTGAATGGATTCTGTGTCAAAGGTAAAATGCTCTGGTTCTGGGGTAGTTACTTCACTGGGTTCCTCTACTTTAAAGACTGGATTACTAACTCCCCCAGGAAGCTCTTCATTACCATTTATTAGGCTTTCCTCAGAGATAGTTGATACTTTGGAACCAGCAAAATGACTGACTTCAATCCTGGGTGGAATTTTATCATCACTGTCACCCATACTTCTTGATATCGTATTGATTCATAATTTAAGTGAGTAAGCACCACCTTTAAAAGTTACTTCTGAAAAATAAATTGCAGTCAATAATGAAAAAGTTCAGCATTGTAACAGACAATTTTTAGAAATATATAGCATAAAATTAAAGATTATGAAACCAAGGCACAAGGTTGATGAACACGAAACAGCAATCTTATAATATACTAATAATTGGTCAAACCAGGGACAGTGTTTTTTTTTTTGTTGTCTACTTCTTACTTTTCCCTATTTTCAATGTAAATATTCATTACAATATTGAATCATAGATAGCGATCAAGGTTGTATCATATTACAAGACCTAACTCTCTCCCAAAGTATTTTTAAAATTAAGTAAACATACGAGTTTAACCCTGCCACATTCTGTATGTGCCTGTCCCAAGTCAGGAGCCTGTAATTCAGTGGTTGTTGTTTGTTGCTATGTAACATATTTGTTTTTCGTTCATTATTTTGTACATAAATTAGGCCGTTAGTTTTCTCGTATGAATTGTTTTACATTTGTCATTTCGGGGCCTTTTATAGCTGACTATGGGGTATGGGCTTTGCTCATTGTTGAAGGCCATACGGTGACCTATAGTTGTTAATTTCTGTGTCATTTGGTCTTCTTTTTATATATGTATGTAAAATTACCACAGTCCACCTCTCAAGTAAGGCTTTATTTTATGTTACACATGTGTTGTACACCTTACGTAGACAAAACTTTCCAAAACTTTTTTGTTTGAGAATCATAAGGACATGCACAAGGGCACATTATTGGAAAATTTGATTAATTAAAAAAAAAAAAAAAAAAAAAAGAGGTATCTTGATAACAAATGATTTTAAACAATTATTCGTCTATTGCAATGCTTTATTGGTACCAAGAATATCCAACTATATGCTGTTATTCATGTTATAAGGGAGACAACTTCGATTATACATTGCAAAAATAATTAGACACAAATTTACTGTAACAGTAATGGTTTTACTGTGAAAATCAATCTAAATTTAACTTTTATCACCAATTTCAATTAATAATCATATAATCTGCTCCAGTCTTATATAAAAAATTCTTCAATCTTTATTTTTTATCAAAAAAAGAACTCCTTTTCTCCATTTAAACAAACAAAGCCCAATTCAAAATATTTGAAGTGTCAAACAGAATTTCAGGTTTTTTCAACCCAAAGAAGGTACTTTTTAATTTTACAAAAGAACTATCAGTACTTCTTATTTAACCATTTTATACTTCTATTTTAGGTTTCTCAAAAAGATAGTAGTGATGTAGATAAAACAGTCTCATTCCCTCAACTCAACTTTTCAATATTTTGCCAGCAATTAAGCAAATGGGCAAACATAATGTCATCAGCATATTTTTAGAGATCTGTTCATATGGGAATTCAAATGAAAACCTTTACAACAAATTGACTTCCATGAATAAATGGAGATCTGGGATATAAATTAATGAAACAACAAAAACAACAAAAAACACTCTAAAAAGCCATCAATGTACGATCTTGAACAATATGAGTGCTATAAGAGTTAATGTAATGTGTCGTTTGGTTTAATTTTCATATTAATTCCAATATTCAGATATAGTTATAGTTTTAGTATATAAATCTAGTACAGTTATAGCAAAATTTAAAATACTTCATTACTTAAGTTCTTTTTTATGTAAATATGTACTCAAGCGGTTTGTTTTTTGTTTCCACTAGATTTCTTCAGATTGGACAGAAAGAAAAGCATGAAAATGTGATTTCAATTCAGGACTTTAAATTAAAAAAATGTGCAGATTATGCCAGATTATCTGACTAATCAGAAGCCTAGCAACAACTCTTGCTGAGGGGAATCTGTTTGGCTATGCAGTATAAATACACACTCACTTCCAATGGGGGACACAAACTCCATAATTCTATGGTAATTTGGAACACAACAAGTTAAACAAATAGGTTGTTAAGCATGTTGGTTTAACCCACCATGTTAATCCTGAACAGATTACTGACAGCCATTTGTCAGTTGTTTCCATGAGGATGTTTGAAGAAATTCTCCCTAAAAGGAACAAGTATATGATGGACATTGATTTTTCTACAATTTATAGATATAAGAAGATGTGGTATGAGTGCCAATGAGACAACTCTCCATCCAAGTCAAAATTTATAAAAGTAAACCATTATAGGTCACAGTACGGTCTTCAACACGGAGCCTTGGCTCACACCGAACAGTAAGCTATAAAGGGCCCCAAAAAATTACTAGTGTAAAACCATTCAAACGGGAAAAACCAACGGTCTAATCTATATAAAAAACGAGAAACGAGAAACACTTATGAACCACATCAACAAACGACAACTACTGAACATCAGATTCCTGACTTAGGACAGGTGCAAACAAATGCAGCAGGTTTAAACGTTTTAATGGTACCAAACCTTCACCCTTTTTCTGAAACAATAGTGTAACATCACAACATAGAAAGACACACTATAAAATATCAACTGAAATAGCTTAACTCAATCAAAGGACATATTAACACCATTGAACATACACTGAAAAAGTAAATTTGACCTATGATACAATGTAAATACAAAATAAATAAACTAAGGGAAGAATAATAAAAGTAACATGTTATATCGGTAAGAAATGTTAAACAATTAAAGAAAAACAATATGCTCGAACAAAAATATCAGCTATTTGCAATAACTTTAAACACAGGTAAATGAAAATAATTTTGTTGTTAGGTATACGTGTACAGTACCAATAGAGAAAGGAAATATTTTTACAAAATAAATAATTTTGATGTTCATAGTACGAAGTGAAAATTTATAGTAATACCAAACACTTATCAAAGCTGGTATATAGACCAGATATAATAACCCTGAATAACATTAAATAACAAAAAAGCAATACAATTAGTATCAACAGGTCAAATAAACAAGAAAGTACGATTTGAGAGTACTCGCAGTTACTGACAGCTAGTTAAAAGCCAAAACAATTAATAATAAAAAATTATGCATCAGAGACTAAAATCAACTAAAACACATCCCAGGGATTTAGTATTTTAACGTCATGGACAGTCAAAGAAGACATGACTAGTGCAATGCCAAAAATAAATGTATCGACAGACAGTAGGATAGGAGTTTAACCTCTTTATAGATCAAAACGAACGTGGGTGTGTCTTTATACATCCCGTTTGAAAAAAAATACAAATTTAGTTATGTTTTAATTTGCTGATGACAAAATCGATATTAGTGCCAATGTAAACTATACTCAAAGATCTAATTACAACATTGGTAAGATAACCTTTACTAATAAGTTTGTTTAAAGGTTCGATGAGTTTACACGGATCACATAGTGATTTCCGCGCTTTAAGTACAATATTACCGTAAAATTTAGGATGTGAAATACCGTTTTTAATCAGTTTTCTACAAGTACAGCCAAATTTACTAATCAAATCTTTGTATCTATGAAAGAACTTAGCAAAAGTTTTACGTAATTTATGGTAAAGAAATCCCTGATTTAATAATTTACCAGTGATGCATTGATTACGTTTGTTAAAATCTATGACATCACTACACACACGGGCATAACAAACGAGTTGGGGTATATAAACACCGTATGATGGAGCAAAAGGAACATTGCCGTCAAAAAAATTTCAATAAATTTAGTTTTTGACTGATTTTTTAAAGTCAGAACATGATTTGACCTGTTCAAGTCAGTTTGCAGAACAAAAAACCTATACCTTGAAGTTTAGAAAATTAGATTTCTAACTTTCTATTCTACTAATAAAGTTTTATAAGATCAAAAATCTAAAAGTATGTAGGATCATTCTACAGTGTACTCCACCCTATCATCGTCATATAGTGAAGAGATTTTCTACAAGGTACCAATATATCATCCCCCTGTAAAGTGATTGTTTTTAAAAATTGACTTCATGCAGTCATGTTTTAAAATATGCCAGGAACAATCAGGGATTTCTATAAAGGACCTTTATGCATCAATTCTGTAAATGTGAGATAAAGATTGGCTCAGGTCACATTGTTTCTAAAGCTTTAATAAGATATGTCCACTAACTGAGCAAAGGGAGATAAATCCTTATTTCAATTTAACAGCAATTATTTTTTTACCAATTGAACTGCAAATATGTTATTTCATATACCTAAAGTTCCTTTCGCTATTTGTGGACAGTTCAATTCAAAATAGCACAGCAGTTACAAATGTGAAGTTTAGTGACTGATCATGGTGGACCACTTCCAAAAAGTGATGCAAAAATTTCTCAGTGAACTTTCTTTAAAAAGTGTTTGACTATTTAATACACCAGAATCAAATATAAATAAACCTTTAGTTTTGTGTTTGTGACAGGCATCTTTAACATGCCATGTTAATTTCAAAAAGGTCAACAAATTAACTAAAGTCCCTCTGCCTATAACTAATTAAATTGAATCCTCAACAACAGAATTATTATGCTAATAGTACTTCTAAATGAGACAAATGAATTTGTCAAATAATAAATACTAATATACATACAACCGCCTCAGTGGTCTCATGGTAGCATGTTCACCTCAAGTGCAGGAGGTTGTGGGTTCGAACCCCAGTTGGGTCAAACCAAAGACTTTAAAATTGGTATTCACTGCTTCTCCACTTAGCAAGCAGCATTAAGGAGTACCGGTAAAAGCAAAGACTGGTTGGCGAAGAGTCAAAATAATGTGTCAGGGTAATTATGGTGACATGTCTTCCTGTGGACTGTTACCTTGTGAACTAGCAAGTTAAAAATCCGGCTCAGCGTGTCGGTCTAGTACAAAGCAGGGTTATCAGACACATTTCTTAAACTAGATACCCTAATCTCTTTTGAGATTCTGAGTCCGGAGCGATGGATAGCAAATCACAAAATCGCTCTGGACTCAGAATCCAAAAAGGGATTATAGATACCCCAATGATAATTGTGGCCAACTTTGGTTAAATTTCGTCCAGTAGTTTTAGAGGAGAAAATTTTGTAAAAGTGAGCGAACAACAAAGACGGACCTCAAGTTATGAGAAAAGCTTACTTGACCCAAAGGTCTTGGTG